AACTCAAACCGCTAACTCGACCTTGCCAGTCATTCAAACGACTATACTTTACATAGTAGAAAAACATTATAATAATAATTTAAGTTACCGCCATTTCCCGCCATTTTTGTCGGGGGAATTTGTGTCTTATCACAACAAAGTATACTATAAATGATAATACCGGAAGTCGATGGTATTTGTATTTACCGAGATTTTCAACCTCCCCCCCCCCAAATAACTGTTTCCTCGATCAAGGAATTTAAAAAGGCATTTTATTCTGAAACAATGGGTACACCGAAAAATGAAATTTTACATTATAGGCTTTTATCCGGTGTTCTCATTTATAGTATTTGATAACAATTATTACTAGTTAAGTTGATAACACAGAATCACAGATACATGTATGTATAAAAATGGCGGCGTCGCCTTTATTTCTTATCACTAGTTAGCAATCTAGTTTATAAATAAACGATTCTTTCAATTTGTTTTGTTTTCATAAACGTTTTTTAAATTATTGGAAAATATCTATTTTAAAATGTTTTCTATTTTGGTGTTATTTGCGCGGCGGTGTTGATATTTTTGGCTTGACCGATCAACTGTAAACGTGTATATGGTAGGGGAAATGTTAGGACTATTGTAAAACGTTTTCGAATTATTATATATATATATATCTAACAAATCTTGTCATGTTAATTATAAATCGATTTGCTATATGCGTGTGTGTGTGTGTCTATTGTGAATCGGAAATGCCAAGTCAGTGTGTTCCGGTCGTTTTCGATTCGTCGCGTCCGCGTGCGACATCATGGTGAAAATCAAAATTGAAAAGTAAAATTTATATTATCATTATAATATTAAACGGTAGTTTACCTAAAAAACAAAACCCGCGTTTTGTCTCTGCCAAAAATAGAAACTAGCCATTGAATTTTCGCCTCCGCGGCAGCGGCCAATAATATATTATTATTATTTGTCATAACTAATAGGCCTCATGCGGTTAAACCGATGTGTGATTACTAAATCAGCTAATCACTGATAAGATTTTAGATTTAAAAAAAAAAAAACCTGTGGGCAAAACTATCTGTGGGTGATCGCGGGTTTCCCTTTGGAGATAGGTATCTTTGCATCAGATTTCTTACAAATAGAAATTCTTAATAATGCATGTCGGATACGGCCCGCAGCGAGACCTGACCGCTCCTTCTCCTCCCTTTTATTATTATTATTTTTTTTTTTTTGGCTCGAATCGATTCGTTACCACCTAGATCTCTTGATATTATATATCATTATGTATGATTATTAGTCATTACATATTTCACACGAATATAGGTGATCTGGTTCAAGTGCAAACACAAAACGGCAAACAGGTGCATAGGAAAAATCAAAACGTGGTGTTGTTCTACAGTTGTGTTTGTTCGCGTGCTGGTTGTATGGAAATATTGTTGCAATAATTCCCCAACATAATATATTGTAGAATTTTTTAAAATTTAAACATTATACAAAAACAGACTCACCACTTGCTTTGTCGATTTATGTATATATTTCTTTTGGAATAGATTTTTCATTTCGACAAATCCACTCTATTTTGATGCTTGGCATACATATTTAGTGTGCAAAACAAGGTTAACTGTAGGAAAATATCTTAAAAATATGTTTTTGATAACATAACAACATAAAGGGAGGACACTGATAACAATTAGCACGGTAAAGATACTTATCACACAACAACGCGTCGGCCATCTTCTAAAATATATGCTATAACCATAATAAATTATATCTATATATAGACATAATTTATTATGATTATAGCTGCATTTGGAACATGGCCGACACTTTTTTGTTTACACTCAAAGTGTACCCTTCTGCTTTAATCTATTCTGTGATAATAATTTGTTTAAAAAATGTCGCGTCTAAAACATTTTCACTGTATTGAAAATAGATAATATATTTTTATTTATATATTTTACCTATTTCTAGTTTTAACGGGCTAGACCCGATTGTTTTTAAAGTGATGCAAATCAAAAGGAAGGTACAAGTAAAATTTTTGTTTAAAAACAAGCTTGTCAATGACAACAATGATGGCTTTTTTTCTATCTGCGTTTGTTTTACAGTTATTTTTCATAATTTTTTTTATTGGAGAAAACTTATGGATATTATCCATACATATACATGGAAAGTATAATTTTCATTTTGTTCTCCTGTAAAATGTTGTAAATATTATTTATCCTCTCCCTTTTGGTGGTCCTTACCGCTCAACGATGAACCGTGCTTTCTTCACAAATCCTCCACCGATGACAAATGCCAATTTAATAAACTTATTTGTAATGCATATTTTTTGGTTTTCTCAGTAATACACGCTACTATTAGATGCTGTGCTTATGTTTAATTTTCCTTTATTCCCCCTTTCGCCATGTGTACACATCCCGGCCAGATGTGCCCACCCTCTATTTGACGGCTCCAAAGTTTATGATATTGTCAAGTATAATATATCGCATCTGATTGTATCATTGGAGAGATTTACTCATTACCTTCATGACTTTGAAGATGTCATCCGACCTTTGGAAAATGAAAAAAAGTGTTAGGTATGTATAAACAAGTTGACAGCTGCAACGGCGATAGTGACCGATTTTATATAATAAATAAAAATGTATATTTACCTAGGTATAATTTAATATCTAATTTCTTAGACCGATTAAATGTTCATAAATCACACATGGTATTTCAGTTTTGTAGTTCACACTGGAAACGGTCTTTAATTTATTTCACTGATGTTATATTTGTTTGATATAAAACTTAGAGGCCCATCTTAATCATTCCCCCCCCCCTCATTTTTCTTCTGTAGTGAAAATGAATTATACTATTTATATTATGTTGTTGGACTAGTATTTATTATCAGTCAAAGGTCGACCAGCAGGATGACACGTATATCTACTATTATATTGTTGGGGTGTATACCTTTTTTTCACGATTCGGGTGTTTTCTCCAAAAACGATTTGTTTCTTAGGTCTCTTTTGGGCCCATTGTTGTTACAACACCTTTGGCTTATAACCTTATGATAATAATAATGAATATGTTTTGCCACCAGCGTCGGATAGAGGTGTTTAAGGTATATATAAAATACATTTTATTTTTCTCGAAAAATCACGTTTTATTCTCTTGGACATGCACACTTGCGTGTGGCTCAGCAGTACTATATTATGAGGTTCCTGCTGCTGCATGTGTGGTATAGGCAGGCAATTTATAAGATATCTCCTCTCTCGTATATATATATATATATATATATATATTAAAAATCATGTTTCCTGCGATCATTTTGTGTGTGTGTATGCGGTGCGGTGTGTTGTGTTCTCTGCACCTATATATTAATGCATGATTGCCGTTATGTGTGTGTATGTGATTGGATAAAATGGGTCGGCTGGAATTCTCCACTTGAGGTCCATTAAAGAGAGACAGAGAGAGCTAAGAATTACCGTGGCCGTGTGTTTTTTTTATATAATAGAGATATATACTTACTGTATAATGATATATTTATGATGATGATATCCACCAAAGGATAATGCACCTGCGATCAAGAGGAGGTCGTTGTCGGTTAATGGGACACCGAAATTAACCCCTTCCCCCTTTTGGAATTCAGCCCCATTTAGGTATCTAATAAAATATTTATTTAAAAAGCCAGGGGTTCGTTTAAGCGCAAATTCGTTTTTACTCTTATCTTGTCTTTTGTTAAGAGAGCTGTTAATAAATCATTCGATTTACGAGTATTGCTGTTGTTGGTTTTTTTTTTACTCGAGTGTTCAAGTTTCTTCTATTTATGTACATGATATATATTATTATAAAATCATAGTCGACATTAACGGGTTTATATTTTCCTTCAAAGTTAAAACGCCTATAATAACCAACACTCGAGTGTTTTTGAGTTGATCTTATTGTTCAACATTTTGTGGTTGCTTTTCGTTAACCGATTAAAAATAAATCATAATAAAATAGTAACATTGTTTTTTTACATATTTTTATGTCTTTATTTTGGCACACAACCGGAAAAATCGACAATTCTTATCATAACGAAAATTTCTGATGATTTATCTGATAAGATAAGAGAGATAAGTGATAAGAGAGACAACAGATAAGAGAAATAATAGTTATTTTCAAATAATTTGTTGAAAATCGAGAACCTTAATCGTTTATTTAATAGGGCGTCGCACCAGTGATTTTCAGTGGTAAAAACATGATTAAGCAGACTTAAAATAACTCACTTAATTTTGGTTTTAGAGTAAAAGCACCCATTATAAAATTAAAAGAAAACAATACTCCAGAGAGCAAGACGGTGCGTTTTTTTTAAAAATTAATTTTTTGGAAAGTTACAGTCATTTAAAAATGTTAAAATAGTCGTTATTTCTAAACTATGTATTGAGCATTATACTTAGAATAATAAAAAAACGTCATTACCACCGTCTTGCCCTCCGAAATATTGTTTTCTTTTAATTTTATAATGGGTGCTTTTACTCTAAATCCAAAATTAAGCGAGTTATTTTCAGTCTGCTTAAACATGTACAGATGAAAAAACATTTTTAAATCGCTTTCAAGGATACTGTGATAGTCCGAAAAATAAATTAACTACCAAAATAGAGTCCTAGCTGTTATTGAACTAATAATTACACATCACAGTTTAACCTTTAAATTAAGATTTTGTAAAAAATTGCCTATACTTTACGCCTTAAAAATAGGCGGTGCGACGCCCTCTTAAAAAAAAAAATGTTTTATATTAAATAAAATGTTTTTTTATAGCATTCCAAAGCAAATCCCTACATTATGTGTGTGTGTGTGTGTGTTGTGGTTATAAGCAGATATATTTTAAAATGCAAACTAGTCCGGGAAATTGGTCGAATTTTATTTTTGTATTGCGCCATTTTAATTAATACAAATCGCGTTGATTGTTGAAAATTAAGATTTTCTAAATAAAAAAAACCAAAAGTCTTTGTGAATGTTATTTGGTCGTGTGAAATAAAGTTCTTTTATCGTTTGTGTTTCAGGCGCACGTCGTGTCGGCGTTCGAACAGTCTTTGTCCAACATGACTCAGAGACTTCAACAACTGACCGCGACCGCCGAAAAGAAGGTAAAGTCTCAGACAAGTTTTTCTTGAACAGATTTAGCATTTTAGCTATTTTCTCGGTTTCACACAGGACCACGAGCTTCGCGAATTGCGCCAGACCATTGAAGTGCTGAGAAAACAAAACGCAGAGTCCGGGAACTTTACGGGAAACCAAACCAACGTCAACGGTCATCAAAGGCGGCACACCATCAACTCGGCCGCGGCCGACTCGAGCACCGGTAATTTTTTTGTAAATCTAAATCGCTTGCGTCGTTGTGTGTGGAAATGGGGCAGCGTTGTTGTTAATTAAATCCAGAGTGCTTTTAACGCTTTTGTTTTCTCCTAACGTTTGTGTTTAGGCAATAACATCATTTCACGTCAACTGTCGACAGATTCGGTGTCCAGTTTGAACTCTCTGTCGTCGGCTTGCAGTGCATCGAGTTCGGCTCAACAGTCCGAAGCCGACAAGAAAAAGAAAAGAGGATGGGTACGATTGATAATTTTTCAGTACATACTGGCATGGCAGAGATTGCACAGAGCAACCAAAATAGTTTCATTGGTGTTTGACTACACTCGAAAGTCTGTGCAAACTGTCATGAAAGCGGTGTTACTTGTATAACTGGCGGCCAATGTTCAACAACACCGATGACTGGTTTATATTGTTGTTTTGTTTTCACTTGCAGTTACGCAGCTCGTTCAACAAAGCTTTTTCGCGTTCAAAGAAAAACCGCAGTAATTCTTTGTCAGACGCGGAAGAAGCGCAAATCGCTCGAGCCCATCAAAACGCATTCCTCTCGGACCTGTCGGCACCGTCTTCGCCTTTATTGAACGCCGGCCACATGAACGGTTTGAGTCTGAAGAACGGCCATTCGTCCACCACGTAAGTCCGCAATAATGGTAGCCTTGTCGTCGTTCGGTTCAACTGTGAAAATGTTATATTGTTTTAATCTTGTTGATTTTGTCTTGTTCCCCTTAGGAGTCTGTACGACTGTGATCGCAACGAGCACGACTCGAGTCCCGAAATGGTGGATCAGTTGAAGAAACAACTGCGAGAAAAAGACCTCGTTCTCACCGACATAAGATTGGAAGCTCTCAGTTCGGCTCATCAACTCGAATCGTTGAAAGACACCGTTATAAAGATGAGAGTGAGTTACACTGTTAATGTCAACTGGACATTTTTAAGAGAATCGGTGGTCGTAACACGCGTCGTTTGTGTTTAGGACGAGATGTTAAACTTGAAGCAGGACAACGAAAGATTGCAAAAAATCGTGACGGATCAGTCTCTCCAGTCAAGTTGTAGTTCCTTATTGTCTCCTCCTATGTCGTCGAGTCATACTCCGGGCGACGAATCGACCGAGGCGTTATTGAAATCGTTGGACTCGGACGCCGCTCTAGTCCAAGTCAAAGTGTTCCTCGGCAGTCACGGCAGCTTCAACAAGTACAATGAAAACAAAGAGAAGACGTGCACGATATCTGCGTTGCCGGTTTCTCCAAAAACAAAATGGGATATGGTCGACCATCTCGTTGTCAAAGGGTTCAAAGTACGTATTTTTCACATACAGTTGTGTTATTGTATGATTACCGTCCCCGTCTGATATCTGAAAATTCAATTTCACCTAGGATTATGTAGAACGTATCGATCCGTTAACAAAACTCGGACTCTGTGGCGATTCCATATGGAGCTATCACGTCGACGATTTAGTGCGTTACGTTTCAAACGGCACGGACAACAAAGCGGTGTCGTCCAACAAGTCTCCCTACGAGTGCTTAACCAACGGCTCGCACATATCCATTTGCCTTAAAGGGGCCATGCACTCGGGCAGCTTGGACGCCCTGGCGTTTAGTACGCTCATACCGAAAACTATTCTCCAGAGGTCGGTTATTAAAAATTGAGAGTCGCTATTTCGATGAGCCTGAACTTTAAAATCATTCGTTCCAGGTATGTGTCCTTGTTGAGCGAACATCATAGAATAATCCTTTGCGGGCCCAGCGGCACGGGCAAGTCTTATTTGTCGTCAAAGCTCGGCGAATTCCTGGCAATGAAAACGGGAAAAGAATGTAATTCTTCGAGCGTCGTTACTTTCAGGTTGGTTTTTTTTACAAAAGTACCACAACAGTTTAGTAGTAAATAAAATGTTCTGTTTTTCTAGTGTCGACGACAACACCAACAAAGATTTGCAACGTTACTTGTCCGGAATATCGGACCAAGCCGATTGCGACGCGTCCCAAGTTCCGAGCGTTGTAATATTGGACAACTTACACAAGGCGCTTTCTTTGCCGGACGTGTTCAACGGGTTTCACAGTCCGAAATGTCCGTACATAATCGGCACTATTAACCAATCGACGTGTTCCACTACGAGTCTGCAGCTACACCACAACTTCCGATGGGTGCTGTGCGCCAATCACATGGAGCCGATGAAAGGTTTTCTCGGTCGTTGCTTGAGACGTAAACTCGTAGAACACGAATGTCAGCTGGGCCAGAGGAACGCACAACTCAAACGGGTCGTCGATTGGATTCCCGAAGTGAGAAATCACTTGAATCAGCTGATCGAAACGCACAATTCGTCCGAAGTGACTCTAGGTAGTAGAGCGATTGATTTTCTAAACACAGTAAATTGAGTAATTAAAAATTGTAATAGTAATAATAATGGTTCCCCCCCCCCAGGTCCTGGCTTGTTTATTTCTTGTCCAATGGATCCGGAGTCGTCGCAGACGTGGTTCACGGATTTGTGGAACTACTCGCTAGTCCCGTACGTGATGGACGTGGTTCGCGAAGGAATCAAGTTGTACGGCAAAAGATCCGCCTGGAAAGACCCGACTTCGTTCGTGGTCCAATCGTATCCTTGGTCGAACGTCGTGCGTAAAACGTTGGAATCGTTTATCAGAATAAGACCGGAAGACGTTGGCTACGATATGGAACAAGATCACGATCCTTTGGTAAGTATCATACTTGAATTATAAGTGGATTATTATACTTGTTGGTTGTGTGCTCAATTTATATGTATCCGTTATTTTACTTGTCCAGTTGAACATGTTGATGACGCTTCAAGAAGCCGCAAATTACTCTAGTCCTCAGAACGATAAGGAAATGAGTTTGCCCATTGGCGGCGGCAATGGAACCTTGGCGACGTTGTAGGCAGACTCGAGAGATATTTTATTATTATTTGTTTGTGATTTTTATTTTATTTTTAAGTTAAATGTGTAAACCAAAAAGAGTTTTTGGTCACGATATATCCCAAAGACGTTGTTTTTACCAAATAGTCTAATGTTACGTAAAGTCCGGCGAGCAGAGTGCCGCCGTAAACTGTTTTATTTTATTTTATATAAAACACAAGCGCAAGCTCGACATTTTTTAAAAAGAATTATTTTTTTGAAATTTTTACCACTGACAATAAAATCGGATGTTTTTTTATTTCACGAAAATAAAAATGAAGGCTGCTTTTTCTAATTTTGTATTCGTCGTAAATATTAATTATTTATGCTCAAACTGTTAACAATTTTTATAAGATGTCAAGTGAAAATCAACAGATTCTGTTTTCTTAGCAAAAATTTTACAACGTATTTAAAAAAAAAAGAAAAATTGTAATTAAAAAATATTTTTTACGCTTTTATATATTGTGAGCTACGTGGACTTCCAAAAGGATTTATAACTTATACAATTATTATATATTATTTTACATTCGACTATATTTGTACCGTATTATAACTGACGAGAGAAAAATGTATTGTAATATTCTTTATTACTCGTAAAAATTTATGTCACTCCAAAACTACAATATATATTATATATATATTTTTTAAATTGTATGTAATACTTGTATTTAAGTCAATGAATACTTTTGGTGCTTTTTATTCATTACAGTTGATTTGCTTAGAAGTGTTTTTTATGTATTAAATGAAGTATAATGTAATTACCTCGCTTAATATACTGTTATTGTTAACGTAAGTGCTTTTGTATTATAAACGTCATATTTTTTATTTATTTGTACTTGTTTTATACATAAATACATTAAGCGTAGTACAAATGTTTTTATCAGTTAAAAAAAAATATATATATATTTAAAACATAAACTATGCGCCTAATTTATTTCTAGAAAAAAAGTACATATTATGTTTAAATTATTTTATATTTAATTAGCAGTCTTTAAAGACGTATATGTAAAAAGCGTTAAATGTAAAAGGGAAATCTTAAAATAACAATTAACATGTATAATCACTTGGCGTATTCAACTTCCTACGGTTTTTTTGATGTTCTCGGCCATTTTGACGATGCCCACTAATGAAGACTCGTAGTTGGTCGAAGAAGTCTAAAAGGGGCGATTGAAGGTGTTAAACAAGAATGGGGCAAATTTAAAACGAAGACTTACCGAAGTGTTCATTTGTAAGTACAGCGAATCCTCAAACGAGAAGTTACGGAATAAGGCGTTGTTGATTGTGTTCGATGAGATGTTTGCGACGCCGGCACTGGACGACGACCAACTCATAAAGTCGCTGTTGATGCGTTCCAGTCCATCGGAGTCGCCATCGTCGTGGTTTGCCGCAGGACCGGACGGACCAACAATCGAATTGTCGTCGGACCACGACGGTTGCTTCGGCAAGTCTGACGATGAAGTCCAGCTTGACTGGGATTGAAATCCCAAACTCCATTTGATGTCTTTTTTGATTTTATCCCAAGAATCTTGATCGTCGTCGTCGTTGGACTTGAAAGTTTGATCTATCGAAGACAATCTGTCCGAAGCTTGTCGTCGGTCTTCGTCGGTGACCGTCTTGGAGCCTACCGAGTCCGAGAAGGACAAGCTGCTGAAATTGATCTTCATTTGCAGCCAACCAGACGAGTCGACGGCAGAGTGTTGGGAATCCATCGGTCGGTCAACCGAGGAGCCGATCGACCAACGGTCCTGGTCAGACGTAAGACTACGTTGTAAGTTCAAACCACTGCTGCTGCTGGTGGTGGTGTTTAACGTGAAAGTTTCCGACTTGGCTTGGTGTTGGCCTTTAACGATAAGCATCTCCAAAGAACTGTCGGACGAGAAACCGGCACTCAAGTCCACCGCAAGTGAAGAGCTGCTCGTCGAAGATTCCAAAACGATTTCTTCTATGTATGCTTCGTTTGCCATGTCGCTGTCGATGAAACGGTTGAAGTCTTCTACCAAAATGTCCTCTGAAGACAAAACATCAACGGTGGAGCTGCTGCTAAGCTCTGCTGTGGTCGGTCGGTCGTTGTTTGTGTCCTCCACAACAAGACCAAGAGGCTCATCACTGTCACTGTCGCTGTCTTGGGTTTGAAGTTTTTGCCATCTTGTCAACTTGACCGTTTCCACCGAACAGTAAGAGTGGTCCAGATGTAGTAGTTGGTCCTTTGGTGTGTGTTTTTCCAATTTCGGAGTAACCATTTCGTGATGGTCCATCCAGCTGTTGCTACTGTTGTTGTTGTCGTCCACGCAACTATTTGGATCTCTGCTGATGAATATCAAAGGGCTCTGTTCTGGAGAAGTCCAGGAGGTGTCTTGATGGTCGTCGTTTGCTAGAGGCGGTAAGGTGGTGTCCAAGTGGGTTTGCTCTCCAAAACAGCAGCTGGTCGAGTCGTTCCCGTTTATTGACACTTTCGGTTGGTTTTCGACAACTTGGCCAGGCGAATTACTGACTTTTTTTGGTCCTGTCGACACGACAACGCGGTGTTAAAAGCTAATTCATTGGTCTGATTTAATCCTCTTGTCTCTCCACAAAAACACCTCTGTGTACATTCACTCGCTTTCTTTTTTTTCACACCAGTCACACGAAGTTTGTTTAATTTATATGAATTTTACCAACTAATGTAGTGTCATTATATATAAGGCAATCACCGTTTGTTGTTGTTTTCCTGCGCTGCTTCTTGTTGGCATAGTATTTGTTTTTCAAAATGGCGATTGGCCGTTTTCTGAGCTTCGAAGGCCTCTTGGTGGGATAATACACTTTGAACTTCTTGTGAGCTTTTAAAAAACGTCTACCCGGAAAATTGTAAGTCAAGTGTATATTATATATATATTAGGGTGTACCAAAAAAAAGTTTTTTAGTTTTTAATTTTTTTTAGGTATAAATATCAATTTTAAACAAAATGTTACTTGTATACAAAATCATCATTAGAAAAAGAGGAATAAACCAGTATTTTTTTTTTTTTTTTACAAAAAGAACTACTATCTAACTAATTTAGGTCCTGGAATGTAAAATTTGCGAAAACATTGATATATATATATATATATATACCCTTAATAGTACCCTAAAATATTTTTTTTTGGGGTATAAAATATTTTTAACTTATTCCTCATTTAGTTTCAAAGAATTCCGATATACTTACATAACACATTATTCTATCAATAGATCAAAAAAAAAAAATTAATTAAAACAAAAAACAAGTTTTGAATATACAGTTGGAAAACTGATGCTCGCAACCTCTAAAAATAATTTTAAAAATCTGAAAAAAATAGGGAAATATTATTTTACCCCGAGGAACATAATGTCAAGAGAAGAACAAAAAAAAAATTTTTTTGGTACACCCTAATATATATTTAATACATAACTTTGAAACTTACTTGCTTGGTTCACCGCACACCGTTGGAATTCCCAGTGCCGTGTAAGTCATGCCCATCACTTGTTTGTCCGGCAAAAAACCGTATGAAGTTTTCATGTGGGAAAAACTCTGTTTGAATATATTGTCCAACGTGGGAAATCTATTGTTCTTGGGGATATTGAAATGTACAGCCCATATGAACGGTTCAAGCGGGACGTTGCAAATGCTGCTTTTGTGTTTGGCAAGTATGTATTTTTCGAATTCTTGTTTATTTTGCATTAGACCGAGCAATCGTTTTTCGTCTGAAAATACACAAAAAAAAAAAACAAGCGAGTAACACTAGTTGTAAAAACGTTTTCATCAAATTCAATGTACCTATATATATTACCAATATACATATACTTTACAAAATGACTAACAAGTACAACCATATTTTTGACACTAGGTAAGAGCATATGTTTTTTTTTAAAGTATTAAAGATTATCACATATTTATTTAGTATTAGTTAAAAAGGTATCACAAATCTGACAAATATATATATTCGTTCTTTTAAAAAATTAGTCTAATTAGTACTTAAAATATATATGTTTTAAAACCGCAAAATTAAATCAGGTACAATAAATTTAGCATTTTATTTTGGATATTGTGTATTATTAATATATATTTCCAAGCGAATATCTAGTTGTGAAATGTGTAATAATTTTTTTTTTTTGTAAGTAAATAATTAATAACTAGCTAACAAACTCAGGTATAACGTACTCTCGCAGTCATCAAATAATTTGTCTTCCATATTTTTTATAAGATATTGTGAAATGTAATTTATTATTATGATTTTTTTTTGTTTTTCTTAGAAAATTTAAATACTATACATTACTATTTACCAACTATAACGATTTTATTTAAATAACTATTCGTGGTCCAAATGATTGAACCACACCGGTTAAAATAATACTGACAGGTTTGTTCTTCCATGAATAAATTATTATTCATGTTTGTAATATTATTATGTAGATTTTCGTTATAATAATTGTTGACCAACTAGTACCGCGGTAAATGGTAATTAACATAATTAAAGAACACATAAGGGGGATCTACTGGGATTTTTCTATTTTTGCTCATCAGTCATCATTATCTTTATTATGATAATTATTGTTATTTGTTTGTTTAAATTATTAAAACTGAAAATTGTCAATTAGCCGAACATCTTATGCTGTATTATAGTATACAAGGTATAGTATAAATATGTCACATGAGAGACAAATGGTAATATGAATGCCGGTCAAATCTCAATATATAGTCTCAACATAAAAGCTATTAAAAAAGGTTGTTTTTTAGACTTTCATTAATACTCATATACATGTTTTTTAAGAGCAAATATAGACCAATTATAAACTTATAATTGGTAAAAACTATTTGCTAAAACTAATTGCTATAAACTATTTTTAACACTTATAAAAATGAAAATGTAAAAAAAATAGTTTCTTCTAGTCCAATGTAATAATAATAATAATATTTCTTTATTGGGGAAATAAATTCCAATTACCAGATAATTTTTGTTTTTCATACATATATAGATTCATTAACAGTAATTTAAATATAACAGCAATTTTAAAAATAATAAAACAAATAGCCAATAGGTATCAACGTCGTACAATATATCTAAATGTTTAAAGGAAAAAACAAAGTAAAATAAATGATAAATGAAATTCTAGTTATTTGTATTTTATGTATTTCTTAGGACATTTGCCATAAAAACATTAAGATATTTGGCGCCTAGAAAAGTGTATTTTGTTTATTGCTTGAAAAATATTGTTGTTATAAAAGCGTCATTAACAATAAACGTTAAAGTATAAGTTATAGATAGTGTTACTTAAGTAATTAATAATTTACAAAAAAAAAAAGGGTTATTACATAATTTCAGTGTAAACTATATTATATATATTATCAAATTAAACTCGTTATAAAAAACAAACGAATAGCAGTTAATTCATTTTTTTTTTTTATAAATGTATAACTTATATTAAATAAAATATATAGAATTGTATAATATATATTATATTAGGTATATTTTGCTATTTGGGATACAACAGTTTTTGGCGGCAACATTTCAAATATTCGATTTTACCTCCATTTATAAATGTCCTTGGACACTTGGAATCTCTTTGCTTGTTGTGTTAATCGATGATTTTGTTTTCCTTAGAGTTCAGTGGCTGGCTTCACGGTTTAGCATATTAAGTATTTTATCTGTCATTATTTCTATCAACTCCTCACCGCGGAGTCGATACCTAGCAAGTTATTTTCATAATTACCGTAAGACTGTTTTTTTTTTTGCATTGCTATCTTACATTTTTTTTTTTTCGAATTTGTTAACTAATATACACCGACCTATTAACCGGAAAATGCATTAAGGGCGCAGCGTCAGTAATAATTATTCTAGACACCGACTTTGCCGTTTAAATGCACTAATCTTTCCTACCTGCGTTCGCTATTGTAACAATGAAAATCACCATCAAGATACTTAATGGACAGGAATGTTCATTCGATGTGAGTATGGAAGCTTTTTAAAATCTAAATTATTTCGTTACTTTGTATAGCACAACTAGCAAGTACGAACGCATTTAAAATTTGTGTAAATTCTCTTTGGGGACGTTATCGCTTGATTTCTCCTTTGGTTTCAACACTCATTCATGTGCGACCAAGTATCGTCGTCACCCGTCGCAGAAACAGTATTACTAATGTCGTCCAACCGGGAATCGTCGCGTCGAGACTCGCTGACGGCTCAGGAAGAAGAGACGCTCAAGTATGGAGCCGAGCATGTCATTAAGTTGTTTGTGCCCGTGTCCATGTGCATGCTAGTCGTAGTGGCTACTATAAACTCGGTAACGTTTTACAACGTTAAAGACATGTTTCTGGTGTACACGCCGTTTCACGAGACAAGCCCCGAACCGTCCACCAAAGTGTGGAACGCACTGGCCAATTCGGTAATCTTGATTACGGTCGTCATTGTGATGACCGTTTTTCTTATCTTGTTGTACAAGTATCGATGTTACACGTTCATTCACGGATGGCTCATCATGTCTTCTCTGCTGCTTCTGTCCATGTTCACGAGTCTTTACTTTGAAGAAATGCTACACACTTACAATGTGCCCATGGATTATATAACGTTTCTTTTGGTCATCTGGAACGTGGGCATGCTCGGCATGGTGTGCATTCATTGGAAAGGCCCGTTACGCATTCAACAATGTTATCTAATATTCATTGCCGCTCTCATGGCGTTGGTGTTCATCAAGTATTTGCCCGAGTGGACTACGTGGGCGGTACTGTTGGTGATATCTATTTGGGATTTGGTGGCCGTGCTGACGCCGAGGGGACCGCTTCGCATACTCGTGGAATTGGCCGAAGAGCGCAACGAGCAGATATTTCCCGCATTGATCTATTCATCGACCGTGGTGTACATGATGAATCGTTCGGACAGCACCAACACTACAGACAGCCAGAACGGATTCACAGAGACGTGGGTTGAAAATCACGGACAGCCGCAGGAACAAGACGTCAGAGTGTTTAGACAGCCGATGGACGAAGACGAGAAAGGGATCAAACTGGGCCTCGGAGATTTCATATTTTACAGCGTTCTCGTGGGCAAAGCATCTTCGTACGGCGACTGGAATACTACTTTGGCTTGTTTCGTAGCCATTCTCATTGGACTATGTCTGACACTTTTGTTGTTGGCAATATTTAGACGAGCACTTCCCGCACTGCCTATATCGATTGCGTTTGGACTTGTGTTTTATTTTGCTACTCGAGGATTAGTCAAGCCGTTTGCAGACATGTTGGCTTCACAACAAGTTTTTATATAACACAATTTACTTTTGTATTAATAAAATAATATGTAATCAACTAATTTTTTTCCAACAATTTATTGTATAATTTTAAAACGGATTACAAAAAAAAAATATATACTCACCGTTTAGTCTTAGTTTTCATTTATTATAACATTTTTATTTATTGTAACAAACAATCATAACTTTTTTTTAATATTTATATTGCTAATTATTTTTCATTCAACGTGTGATTAAAATTAAAATACATTTTTCGTGTTTGCATTACAGTAATAATATATAAATGATACACATATATTTATATTTATTTTTTAATAGTTTGTTTTATCTCATACATTACCCATATAATATAATGTTATATATCTAGTTATTATTAATAAGAATATTTTCTCAAGATCTACTTAATAGCGTAACTAAAACATTATTGTAGTATTAATGGTCGAGCCAAAGAATAATAAGAAACCTATAATATTATTCTACGAAACGTAATAAAGTAAATAAGAACTCGACGGCGTATGTACGACCGTGTAGACTTTACGATACTGTGGTATAATGGAACTTGATGTAAAACTACATTGTTTGTATTAATTGTTATACTTTTATAGAATAACATTATATTTAGACAGACAATATGATTAAAAAAAAAAAAAATGTATCTTAATCGGATGGATACTTTAATTATCACCGGGCACATTATTATTGCTAGGCAATCGACAAATAAAATGGGTTCACGCTTACATCGATTGTGTTTAAAAGATACAAATTGTCTGTCAAACTACTAAACATGTACATTATTTTATTATTTTCGTGCAGAATAGTGAATTTATGAATACATTTTTTTCTTTAGTTTGGTGTTCTTAATTTCAAAGATAACAATAGCATTTTAATACGAACAAAATTAATTTTTAGGTTCATAGTGAAATGACGGTAGCAGAGTTAAAAAATCATGTGTTCGAAGCGCTGAAGGTGCCCGTCAAAGATCAGAGACTCCTTCTTACTGGACGTCCGTTGTGCGGTAATTATAATAAGCCTTGTGCGGGCAGTACGCCGCCGTCTGTGTTATGTTTAAAATATGATGTTCTTACGCTTGTGGTTTTTGATGCAGATGAAAAAACTCTGGTCGATTATCCGCAAATCAAGGACGGCACCAGGATCAATCTAATCGTTAAACAACAGACAATCGTCAAGGCCGACGAACTAGAAGATATGATTACTAAACACGTACGAGAACATTACAGCACCGAGGACACGGTGAAGGTGTTGAAAGAGTTCATGAAAGAATTTGATCGTTCGCTCACGCAGTTCAGCTTAGACGATTACGAACGAATGGCAAAGTCCCTATTAACCAACGATGAACAGCCTCAAAAAAATCAACAATAAGTATACACTAAGCGTAATTATTTTGTAATATAATTTAAAATACAATTTAAGTAACCTTTTTATCTATTTCTATTAATAATATGTTGTACTAGTATTATATATTTGACTATTGTAGCGTCGATATATGTATTTTTTTTTTTTTTTGTATAGGCTTTTTCATTTATTATAATGCTGAATTTGTTTTTTATTTACTTTATTGGCCACAAAGAGCTGAAATTTTAATCATAACATAATGTTGTTTTTAGTGATTATATATATAATCACTCGTATTTTACATTTTAAATTAGTAATCGTCGCCTTTACTGATGATTTCTTTGCACGTCGGTCTCAGGACGATGGTATGTTCGAATTGGGCCGTGTAACAGCCTTTAATGTCGCACAACGGCGGATAAGCGTCCATAATACCTGTAAACATCGTCGTAATGTAAATAAATAATTTTCATTTTTAAAAAAAAACCACATCCATCCAATTCTTCTTACCTTTATCGCATAAATCTTTCAAGGCCATTTGATATTTGGTGGCTCCCACTCTATCGAGCCAACGTTTACAAAACGCTAACGTACCGAAATTCTTATTGACTACGCCGAGTAGCTTTTGAGACGCTTGCAAACGCAAAGGTACGAACGGCGCATCAAAGTTTTTCATGTAATGCGACGTTTCCATATCGTCACGCACTATGCCGCGTCCCGTCGAACCGAACGTTTCAATGGCGTAGAATTCGTTTTCTTCCATCATGGTCGCTTCGCCGCCCTTAACGATCGGCACGGTTTTACCGGCGTGAATTCCTTAAATAATAATAATGCAGGTACAGTATTTGTAGTGGTTAAGGCACCCCCCCCCCTTTGTCGTTGTGTCAGCACACTCACTGTATGAATCGATTGAATGACCGTTGAGATTTCTTATAGATTTCACAGGGTATGTTTTGCCGTCGAGTTCTACTTCATAGGATTCCATTACTTCCTGAATGGCTTCGCCGACTTCACATAATTTCACATCAATACCGGCTGCCTGGTAAAAAAAATTTTTAATAGTAAATATTGTATGAAAAAAAAAAAAAGGTTATTTTACTTTTATGCCTGTATTGGTGGCGTCTCGAACAGCTTCTACGAGTTTATCGTACTTGGGATTGAAAGTCAACGTGAACGCACAATCGATGATGCGACCTGGAAAAACATTATATAATATATTATAATTATAATAAATTTGATTAAGAAAAAAACTTTTATTATATTTACCATTCACGTGAGTACCAAAATCGATTTTGGTCACGTCGTCGTACAATAAAACCGTCGGATCGCCAGCGTTTGGCGTATAATGGGCGGCGCAGTTGTTCCTCGAACAACCAGTGGGAAACGCTAAGCCGGCTTTGAGTCCGTCTTCTCCTATCAGAGTTCTGGAACAACGTTCCAGTTCTTCACAGATTTCAATCATCGTCATACCGGGCTTTACCCAGCTCTGAATATGCTTGCGTACCTATTTAATGGGAATATTTAAACCGTAAACATCTCGCAAGTACGTAATATATTCGATGAACTCGTCAATTACTTGTCTATGAGCTTCGGCCGCACGTCGGGCATCGTTGTAATCGTCGTATCTCGAACGTTCGATTGCTCGTTTTTCTTCGCTCGTGATACGCTGTTTGCCCATTCGACCGTCGTATTCGACTTCTTGGCCAACCGGATATTCACCTAGAAATTGTCGACAAAATTGATTTTAAGTAAGTAAGGTGTTGTCTGTGCTTTCAAGGCCATAACTACGACAAATTAACTATTATTTGTTTAACTATTTGATAAAATTCATTAAAAGTGTAAAAAACACATTAAAACTCTTATGCCGGGTTGCATTAACATTCATTAAAAGTTTAATGAACCAATGAGTTATTAAATTTTTTATGCAAACCATCATAAATGCATTAAACCGATGATATTTTATTCATTAGATAAATATTTTGATAGCAACTGCGAATTTGTTGAATTTTTTAAAATTAAATTTTGTGTTTTCAATTGGTATCAAAAACCATTAATAATTCTTGTAGGGATAGGCTTAGGTGGTTTTTGGATTACGGGTTTCCCTAAAAATGCAGATGTTTATATTCAGTTTAAAGTCCTGCTAAAATAATATATTCAAATTATTTTGGATTGATGAAAAATCTACATAAATTTAATTGGGAAATTAATCAATAAATCGGTTGGCAGTCGAAAAAAATATTGAAAATCTATAAGAAATTTTAAAAATTACTTAAATTATTATGCAAATATGTTTTAAAAATGTATGAAATATTGAATAATGTGTCAATACCTAATTAGTACATTATATTAAAAAATTCTAAGCTAATTGTCATTTCTGTAGATAAAAAGAATGTTTATTTAGTTATAAAAAAAAACATATTTCCCAAAAGCATAATTTGTGTTCAATATCTACATATTAAATAACTAAACAAAAATGTACACTGCATTTGATTTGTTAAATAGGTACGATGATTGTGTTTTATCTTATCACAATACACGTATGATCATACCACTGTTGTAATATACATATATATTAGTTACAATAGTGGTGTGATCATCATACATATATATTGTTTGCAAGTATTCTATATACATTATATATAGAGAGAGACTACACAAACATGTGATAATTATGTATAGAGTACATACAAACTAAGTATAATAATTAATTAAACAATTTTTTTTTAGTAAATTCAAAATAAAGAAAGCGATTGAATAATACACATATAAATGTGTAAATAACTATTAATAAAATGCGTGATCTAAAAAAATATAGGAAAAATAAAATGTTAACGCTTACTCGTAGGATATAACTCGTGAATAGGTACCGATGGCGGATTTGTTTGTTTTTTCTCTTTCGAATCGGCCACCGGTTCTTCTTTATTTTCCTTTTTTTTCCCACGGCGTTTTGACTTTTTCTTTTCTCCTTCTACATTTGTACTTTCTTCCATATTTATATTGGTTACGCCATCAGTCACTTCATCGTCCACTTCGTCTTTACCGTTGGTTTCGGTTTCATCTGTCGAACAAAATACATACTATAACTAACTAAAATCCACTTATTTTTATTATACATTAATAAAATAATTCTTAATACTTTTGGCATAACATCAAACACCAATATTATTTATGCTAAACTGTTAATTCCAGGGCTTCGACTAGTTCAAGTAGTTATAGCTATTAAATGTAATAAAAAACAACAATTTTCGGCTTGTACAAGCAAATTACTTTCGCTCTCAAGTAGCTGCCTACAACTTGTGAACCAGTGAAGTCTCCTAATTTCAGGTTCAAAATCAGCAAAAAAACAAAGGTGGTAAAAAAAAAAATTCAAACTGTGTAACTGTTTAGTACATTTTTAACCGTCAACGAAAAAAAAAAACACTTACCGCTTGTCTGCGATTTCTTCTTTCTACGCTTTCTTTTCTTCTTGATGGCTGCAGTAACATCATCAATGTCTTCGATTTCATCTTCGACAACTTCTTCGGTTTTTTTTACAGATTTGGATTTCCCGACATCGTCCAGGACAGCAGCCATAATTGTAAGTAAAATAAACGTTAACGTATAAATTAATTAGTAACAGATTTATCACTAGTCAACAATAATAATTGTAAATAAGGTACAACAGTTTAGCGGACTGTGGTCTACTGATGAGTTCAATACAAGCACATTGAACAATTATTTAAATTGACTATTGGTTTAAATGCAACAAGGTAAAATATCGTAGTCGCGAGTCGCGACTAGCGAATTGATTTGCATTAATATTGATAACAATATTTGAGGTTATAAATACCGGTTATCACATCAACCGGACGTAACCATGTGTAACCAGCTCATTGGTAACTGGTAAGACCGAAGACTGATAGTAGAGAGAGAGGTCCGAGGAACGATATCGTTAAAAAGAGATAGAGAAAATTAAATTATATTTTTAAAAATGAATTACCGCCTCAGACCGTTTTTCCAAAAACGAATCAAGCTATAGTCCTCCCCTTTAATGAAAATGTCAAAAAAATGGGTAATATCAGTAAAAAAATAAAATAAAAAGTACAATGTTCGTTCACAACAGCGTGAAGAAGAATGAATTGAGGATTTCAAAGTAAAATACAAAGCAGTAATTTAGACGGATTGCATTTTTTTTTTGTTATACTTCAAATAGTGGAAAATTTTGAGCTTCAAGAATTTGCGCTTATTGCTGACAAAATGCTCACACTCCGTCGTACAAGCGTTCTAATATAATGTCATTTAAAATATATTTCTATTTGTAATGTAAATAAAATAGTATAGTGTTTGCTCGACAGTGTAAATAACACACATTTCAATTTTTCTCTTTGTATTTTTACTACTACAGTCGTTGGTAGGTACATTGTACGACATTATAGTGTTTTTCACAATTGCAAACGATTATTTTAACATTATGCAAAAAAACGCCATTATTTTCATAGCCATCATTATCTTGGAAATTTCATTGGGTAAGTTTTGTCTAGATTAGTCGAAATTAACATAATATACTGTACTTATGACTTTAATAATATATTTAATTCAACGACACGTTAAAACTGATGGAAGTTCAATACTTGTATATTTTCCTCACATAATATATGTATGCAAGCATGAGTATAATATATTGATACTTAATTTTCCTTTTTTATATTTAGTCAGTCAAGGTAAACCACGTCCAGAAGGTAAGTATTACAACATAAAATTATATCAATTATAACAATGCAAGTTAATTAGGTACTTGTAAATTTCTGTATATTTTTAACTTGTACTGACCAATTGTATAACTGTCATCGTGAAGTAATATAGAACTCTACAAGTGGAATAGCGGTACAATGGGAGCAACAATTTATCATATTCTTTTTTTTTTTGTATTATACTGCACCAAATAAATAAAATAGAAGAAAAAAAATGATATATTAATTAATTTTTTCAATTAAGACCACATCAAAATTCCTATAAAATCGCGTAAAAAAGTAAAACCTGTTAACCTTTTTATTTTTTCACAAACCTTTTTGTTTGTTTGAAAACGGTTATTTTATTTGTAAAATTTGTTGGATTAGGTGGAGATGTTTCGACAGAGCCGGAAGACTCACAAAGTATACAAAATAGAATTAGTAATAGCCCTCTACATATACATATATATATTAGGGTGTACCAAAAAAAAATTGTTTTTTTTGTTCTTCTCTTGACATTATGTTCCATGGGGTAAAAAAATATTTCCCAATTTTTTTGAGATTTTTAAAATTATTTTTAGAGATTGCGAGCATCAGTTTTCCAAAATTTTTTTTTTTAGTTTTTAATTTTTTTAAAGTATAAATATCATTTTAACGAAAATTGCTTGTATACAAATCATCATTAAAAAAAGAGGAATAAACCAGTATTTTTTTATTTTTTACAAAAAAAACTACTATGCAACTAATTTAGGCCTTAGAATGTAAAATTTGCGAAAACATTGATATATATATACCCTTAATAGTACCTTAAAATATTTTTAATTTATTCCTCATTTAGTTGCAAAGGATTCCAAAATACATCACACATTATTCTAACATTAGATCAGAAAAAAAATTAATTAAAAAAAAAACAAGATTCGAATACTGTTACTTAACAAATATATATTTTTTTAGTTCATAGTTTTTACAAGTAATTAACAAAAAATAATATTATTTTATAAAATAAAAAAAAAAACTTTATATAGAACATAACACATTATTCTAACAACAGATCAGAAAAAAAATGATTTAAAAAAAAAAAAAACAAGATTTCATAATACACTCTTTAGGCATTATGATTGCTTTGGTCAGCTATTATATATTATATATTTATTATATCAATATTATTATATAAATTATATAATGGCCTTTGCTGCCGAGGGTAATAATAATAAAAAAAAATATATTTGTATTCAAAACTTGTTTTTTTTTCTAATCTATTGTTAGAATAATGTGTTATGTAAGTATATCGAAATTGTTCGCAACTAAATGAGGAATAAATTAAAAATATTTTATACTCCTAAAAAAAATATTTTAGAGTACTATTAAGTAGTATTAAGGGTGTATATATATATCAATGTTTTCGCAATTTCTACATTCTAAGGCTTAAATTAGTTGGATAGTAGTTATTTTGTAAAAAAAAAAAAAAAAATACCGGTTTATTCCTCTTTTTCTAATGATGATTTTGTATACAAGCAACATTTTGTTTAAAACTGATATTTATACCTTAAAAAAATTAAAAACTAAAAAAAAAAATCTTTTAAAAATTGATACCTACAAAATGATTTATTTTATAAAGACCACATAATGGCACCTTAAAATTGCAAACAGTAATTTGCTTTGTATCTATTTTTTTTTTGCATTAGGTAAACAAAAGTCGGAGGAAAAAAATTATAAGAGTATTACACGTCAGTACAATATGTAATTTTTTGTATAAAATAGTTTAAACAATAATAACAATAATGAAGTAAATGTCTGGTGTTATTTCTGAATTAGAAAAAAACATTTTTTTCTTTAGTGTCTTTAATCTCAGCTTCAGTGTACATTATTCATTGAATTTTTAAATTCCTCAATGGATACTTAACGTTAATATTTTTAAATGTAAATATAAATCTTATACTTTTCACCCCAATCAATGCACGTTTTTCATCATTATGTTGTTACATTATTGTAAACGTTTTTTTTTGGAATTAATTTAAAACTGCATTCAAGTTATTTTGAAAATAACACACATTTTATTATTATTTTTTCTACATACCATAATGGTCAATTTATCGTTAGCAAACATTTAATTTGATTTATAAACATTTTTGGATTTAGCGGATATGCTTCATAAGAAGTCAAACGGTCAGTATATATGTTTTGAATATATATACTAAAAATGTTTATACCTGTTAAGTGTATTTTTTTTCTTCTCAATATTGTTGTTGGACACGAGCTTGATATTTTATTTCTAGAATGTCTTAATGGCTAGTAAATTGTGTGCAATTTTAAAAGTATCTACTTTGAAATAACCTAGTGTCCTGATAACTCTGAATGTTTGTAGAAGACAGAAGTGTAGAAGAAAAAGCAAAAAAGATGGGCCAAATATGTGCGAAATGTTTAAAGAAGTGTGCAAATAAAGGCGAAGATGCTGTGTGTTGCATACCTTATTTTTGTTGTATTGTATGTAGTTGCTGTGACTCAAAACCATTGAACACCTAGGTAGGCTATTCCTTATTTAAAATGTTTCTAATTAAAAAAAAACTTATATAATTACTATTGTAGTTCACTGTGGTAATTATTAAAATAAAGTAACTTTTTTCCGATAAAGGAATATAACAAATTTGATGTAATACGTTCAGATTTATAAAAACAAAAGCACATATTTAATGCGCCATTAGAAATTAGATGTTAAATAATTGATTTAGCTGAAAGAGTTTAACGCAAATCTTTATTATACTAAATTTTCCAAAATAATTTATACATTACTTGTGAATAACATATTTCAAAAGGAAATTTATTTAACGTATCATATGAATATACACAATTCCTTTCGATTCCCATACAATCGTTTATCAAATGTATTAAAACCAAAAATGATGTATTTCACTTAACCGTAATAAACTTTTACTATTTAGAAATGTTTTGCCTTTTTGTTAATTACACATTTTAATTATTATTGACTGAAAATCACACATTTGTTTACTCATTTTTGTGTATTGAAGACAGTAATATTATTACTGGAAACATTTTTACAACAAAAAATTAAGTAAAAATATAGCTATAAATTCGTGTTTGACAAAACTATTATGTTTTAGAGGAACTCGCCAAAAATTAATATTACTTATGTTACATAAGTTATGTAAATAGGTATAGTTGATTTAACCAAATTGTCAGTTAACCATTTTAATTTCCCATACTAATTTTAAAATTCTTAAGATTAAATTTATAATTTATTTTATCATTTAGATTTCTATAATCATGTTTTAAAACTGCAACTCATCCGATTCTTACACCATGTCACACTGTCAACCTGCTGAGCAGTTCACTTTAATAAACATTCTATTATTATTATCTATCAGTTGTCAAGCAAAGGAGTGTGGTTGTTTCATAACGTTTTTCAGTGTCTAAAACATTATCCAACAAAAACTGTAACCATGTTAACGAATGCGCATATATTATATGAAACAAAATTCAAATCTATAACATGTAAAAAAAAATATACAGCTACAATTAAAATAGGTAGTAAAATCGTCAAACCAGTTGAGCAAAGACAGAAATATACATTTTATTATAAAACTAATATTCTAATTTCTTATACAAGTGTAAAAATAAATTATAACAAATAAAAAATACAATTTAAACAATTAATATTGTACAGAATAGAGAACAAAATATAATTCAAAAACAAATGTTAAATATTATGTAAAAAAAAAACATATATATATAACATATATGTTTTATACGTAAGAAAAATCAATCAAAAAACGAAAACATGGTAAATAATAAACTTTGCGAATTAAATGTATACAAAAATCAAAAAAAATTATTACTAAAATTTAATATTTAGTAAAAAAAAACAATTGTTTTAAGGTAAAATTGAACTGAAAAAGTAGTAATAGTAAAACAAAGCGTACAACAAAAGCTAAACATAACAATTAACAACGAACCTGTATAAGTTCGTCAGGGGTACAGTCCATGGGCTGATTTATGGAACACTTGATCTGAAAAAATAGTAACAGTGAAACATAAAGCGTGTACAACAAAAGCTAAACATGACAATTAACAACGGACCCGTATAAGTTCGTCAGGGGTACAGTCCATGGGCTGATTTATGGAACACTTGATCTGAAAAAATAGTAACAGTGAAACATAGAGCGTGTACAACAAAAGCTAAACATGACAATTAACAACGGACCCGTATAAGTTCGTCGGGGGTACAGTCCATGGGCTCTGCGTCCGTCGATTCCCAGTCCATGGGCTCCGCGTCCGTCGATTCCCAGTCCATGGGCTCCGCGTCTGTTGTCGATAGTTCCCAGCTCGTGGGTTTATCAACATGACGCCAGTCCATTGGCTCGTGGTTTGAAGTGCCGGAAATTAGGCCAGCCGAAGCTGGCGGTGTATTAAAGAGCCATTTCATTACGGACTCCTGTTCCATCCTCAGTACGTCCCACTGGGAACGGCCAGGAGTCGACCGAAACGGCGAGGAATGCTCTTCAGGCATCGCGTAAAACATACTTGAGGAAAAAATTGCTGGTGTGTGTGTAGAAAATTGTAGAAAATTGTGCGTAATTGAAACGGTGGCGGGCAAGTGAAAAGTAAACGTATTCAAACGTCGAGGGTAGCTAGACAACGGCAGAGAAAACTAGCCTTGACGACCAAAAATACATAATTACTTGGATTATTATTTATTACCGTCTTTTAATAGAACGGTTACTATGATGATTGAAATAACCTTTTGTTTTTTTTTAAATAGTTTATTCAATTTAAATTAATATATATTTTATACTTCAAAAATCTGTATTTAAGGGGCAATTTGAGTTGAAAACTTAGAAGATAATACTGTAAGATGCAGTGTTCAACAAATGACTGAATTTTTAAATCTCATTCTAGCCTAATTGATTGTTGTCCTCATCTGTTGGTAAAAGTTTGTCCGTTCAGTATGCTTAAGTCGCCTGTTAAATGATATTATAATTAACTGGGCGACATTGTCTTTTTGAATAATATAAATATAAAACGCTGCCTTTTTTTTTTTGGTAATTACTGATATATACTATATGAATTTTTTTAAATCCAAGATAGCCATTTTATTAAGAATAACTTGCTGTACATTTTGACTGGCCAACGACCAGATTTGAATAATTTAAAATTTTAAGTTAGTAGTTAAACTATTTCTCGGACTATCACAGCATCCTTGACAGCGATTCAAAAAAATTGGGTTTCATCAAAAAGAGGAGGACTTAAACTATAGTCTCTCGTCGGTTTTTTTAAAATAAGTTAGCTACCGAACTACATTGTTTGGCGTCGACCGTGTATTACTTCTAAATTTTCGGTCTATAGCGTTTAATTTTTATTTAAATATCGAATTTTAAATTTTTTCATTATGGTGTAATAATGCATAATTGACATAAATTCTATATAGGGTATACATACAAACCTGGTTGCTACACTGAAAAGCCCTAACGGTTATTAACTGTTGTGGTTAGAGCTTATAACGGGAATACAATTATTTTATTATAAATATTTTTTAATGTATTATTAATTCAGTTAGTTCTAACACTTATTATGTTTATCTATAATTGAGGCTATTATTAAATTGTATTATTATTATGCTTGTGGTTTTTTTTTTATATTATAAAATCTTCAACTTCATACTTGAACAATAATTATTAAACTCTCAATAGGTTTATTTAAAAAACAAAAACTGCACAAGTTACATTTGGTCCAATAATAAAGCGGTTTATTTGACAATGATCACACACATGAGATATAACTTCATTAGTCTAGAACTAATTGACCTACAACATACTGTAGTTGAAGGGTTATCTACTATATATATATAAATTAGATAAAAGAATGCAACACTACCACACAGGTTTTGTGTTAGTTATTATTAATGAATAGATTAATTTGTGCTTCACTTTTGTTGCACAATAATCATAATAAAAATGTCGGTTCAAAGATAACGATAATTTAAATGTTTTAATGATGTCGGTGCATCAACAGACTCATGTAAACCACTGACATAAAACCGTGGTCATTATTCCAAAAGAGAACATTGCCAGTGTGCGTTCAATAATATACATTTCGATTGTTTATAAGAAGAAAAAAAAATTGGAAATGAGGTTTGCGTCAAAATGATTTAGCTTTTCTCTCGTGTTTTATAATTGTGTGTTAATAAATAAAATACATTTTTTGCAGCACCAGCAATGCAAATAGAATGCCACCGTACAAGCTTTGGGCCTCGACAGATGATGGGAAATTGAATTTGTATCTTTTAACGAGTGATCATATTGAAGGTGCGTTGCTCGTCGTCCTTCGAGAATCGTTTTTCCCCGAAGAAAACATCTGTAAGGGCGTTGATGTCATGTCTGAGAAAGGTGCCGCCGATGAGCAACCAAATACAAGTAAATATTATAATTAATTAACGTGCCCTCCGTTGTCCGGATGGTTTATTTTCAAATAAATGTTGTTCCAGACACAGCCGAAGCCACGGGAAAAATCGCCATTCGAAATATTCAGCGAAAACTGCAAGTGCAAATCGTCCCCAAAGCCATGATCGATTTTATGATCTACGTCGATTCCAAAGTGGATCTGTTCAAGCTGTACGGTACTCTTTGTGTCTTCTCGAAGTGGTTTTCCTTTGCACGTCCAACACCCACCGCAAGCGAAGAATCGCCGAGCTTTTCAAACATATCAACAGAGAATAGGCGACACTCGTCTTACTTCACGCCTTGTCGCCAAAAGATTGAATTAACTACACACTTTTCTAAATCATTTTTCACCAGTAGAGCCAGTTTATCTATATTAGCTAGATACTTTATTGGCAAAATATTACTTTGATCAACCGCCTTTTGGAATTTGCTCTTACATTTTGTAAAGTTCATGACTACTAATCATCTCGGCACTGTATTCCTAACGTGAGGTTTTTGTTTTAATTTTTTTTTTTTTACAAATTTTATGGAAAAAATAGATTTTAGTAAATAATAAAAAAAAGGCATTTTAGAGATAACGTTTTGTTTTCTCAACTGTTACATCATAATATCGATATTGATTGAATAATAAACATATGTATTCATTTAATTTATTGTGTCAAGTCTATATAAGTCGGGTCATCAATATATTAACTTTGACGAGGAGCTGATTAGGTATTGTAATTATTACAATGATTTTTTTATTTTTCTGCCTAAACCCACGACGTCTCTTATTAAATAGCTGAACCGTTGGAAAACCCCCAAAAAAAATGGAAAACCCTATAACTTTGACCGTTATCAATTTTTAGCGCTTTTTACAGTAACGAGGTTTATTAGTTGTTCAAAAATATACCAATTTTAATTTTAACGCTTTTGCAGTGTTCTATATTTCATACTGTTCCCTTGATTTGCACGGTGATGTAACATTGAGGTCGTATGTACTGAACGTTCCACATCTTAAGCCTTGATAAGTAGTAAAATGCAAAATATATTTTATTCGAAAAGTTGTTGACAATGTTGTGTAAAAGCAGCGCTTGTGCGCTAGGCATTCTTGTGCTGTATAAAAAATAATTTTCTGGTTCTGTAATTTAAAATTCAACACCGCCATAGTTCGACTTACGGCACACAAAATGTACATAATACGTGCTTAAATTCAATACTGCCATATTTTTGTATATGGCTATCATATTAAAATCATGTGTCACATTTTGGGTTTAAGTTAAATAGTAATATTTCATAACGTTTTAAGAAGTCATATTGTAAAGCATGTTTTTATTTTTTTTTAAAGTTGTAACTATATACAGGGCAAGACACTATAATTTTCCATAAAAATGTAGACAATTTTAAAATATGTTAGCGTTTGAATTTTCATTAGCCTGTCCGTTTGTACTTATTTTACGTACAAGGAATGAAAGTAAACATTTTCCAAGTATTGAAATAGTATAGTGTAACATGTACCTACAAATATAGGCAAAAAAAAATTATTTTCAAAATATTTATATTTTCCGAGAAAACGAGTGCGTTACACCGAATGGATCACCCTGTATATAGTTGTGTATTGTATACGTTCGACATAACGATTTCAACCACCACTGATTATATCAGTAAATTTGTTTTATTTTAGTAATTAATTGAATCAACATAATATGTACCTTTTAGGTACTAACCGTTTTTCCAATTTAAGTTGGTCAGCAATCTTTTGTCATACATCCGGTGGTTCCGGTCTCTAAGAAGGACTTCAATAAGGACTAATAATTTACAAAACTTAGTCGACGGCCAACCACATGAAACGGCCACGGCGAGGATGGCTGAGACGGCGGCCAACAAAATGAATGCGACCACAGGGATGACAGCTTGAATAGATAAAGAGCAAAAACCACGTGATGGGTTCAAACGCGGCGGCCGTAGACAACTAATAATTGTAGTGGTCTCCAACAAGATAGTACGGCCGTTTTTCCACACCTGAAAGTCTGTAGATACGAGTTCAGTAGAGTCAAACAAGTTAAAATATACCTGGGTTCAATATTAACAGAGAGAGAAAAAAAAAGCAGACTGACAAAGAAATATTATCAACGCGTTGCAGTATGTTGCTTTTTGTGGAAACTAATGAATGTGTTACCTCAGTGTGTGGCCCTAAAGCCACACGGGGCCCGGCAGTTCACCGCCTCCGGACCGAACCGCCGATGGTATATGCAGTACGGTACGGGCTCCCCTATGCCGTACTCCTGCACTCCTGCAAATCCACACGGCAGTATGCAGTTTACTGCATCAGCGCCGTGTCGCCTGTGGTACACACACGGTGGCTCCGGCTGTCCTGCCTCAGTTGGCCTGTAGCCGCACGGAGGACGACATCTGTGCGCCGCCGACCCGTATCTGTCGTGGTAGTAACACGCAGGTACTACCGGTGCAAGTTCTACCGGAGCGGGTACTACCGGTGCAAGTTCTACCGGAGCGGGTTCTACCGGTGCAAGTTCTACCGATGCGGAGTTCTACCGGTGCAAGTTCTACCGGTGCGGGTTCAGCTGGTGGAAGTTCTACCGGTGCGGGTTCAGCCGGTGAAAGTTCAACCGGTGCAAGTTCACCGGTGTAAGTTCAACCGGTGCGGGTTCTACCGGTGCCGCGTCCCACCATTTCTTTTTGGCCTTGAACACGAGAACAATTTTTATTTAAACTAATAACTATTGTGCTGACACTGACAAAACAGCGAGCCCTGGTCGAAGGTGTGTCGTTGAACATGTCATCAAACAATATGTATGTTCATACGCGTACCTTATAGAGCAGGTAACCGCCGCCAGTTACCGTTAGAACGGCGCCGCCGGCCCACAAAATCTTCTCCATAGAGCACATATTTCAGAATATTAGATATAATACTTGAAACGCAAAAACTGTATTTCCAACAAAAATGTCGTTTGCTCGTGAAAAGCTGAAAAACAACTGAAGTCTGAGACGGTTGTTATCGCAGCCGTTTCAGCATAGTAACACACGTTTCAGCCAGCAACCAATGTACTCACGACTGGTAAGCACAGTAGTGGTAATTTATTCAATTCAATTGAATTCTAGTTAAATTAAGAACAAAGAACGTATTAAAAATCAGTGTATATTTTCATTTAGTTGTACAAAGATGCGTTTTACAAATTATATTCGTATAATATTGTTTTGTTAGATAGATAGTTTGGTAAATTAAACGATCACAATGTATACAATATATTTTTGCATTTTTCCCTTAGTAAGTTGATTTTCGTTTGCATGAAAAAATTAGAATTTTACGGATAAATTAATTGTATAAGTAGGTAGGTACATAAAAAACAGGAAATACCCTATCACATATGTAAAAAAAAAAAACAAGTAGAAGTTAGTATGCGGTCTAACCGTAACACACACAATATACAGTTGTTAGTTATTATAATATTATTAGCTAAAACGATATTTCATTAGTAATTTATCTGAGTTTTTGTTCAGATCCAATTTTCTTAAATATTACATTAAGGCTATATAGGACGTACAAGCAATTTGTTTTTTGTAGTTATCACGTTAATAACTTAAAGCAAATTCTAGTAGAACATACCTAGTCAATACTTTAATACATAATTGAATATTTTATGTTAACTCCTACTTTTTTTATTTTTTTTTTTTTTTCATTTAAATTGACACGAGTCCATTATTAGTTAACGTGTTAAAATTATAAATAAAACAAATTTTAATATGTATAGCATACATATGGGTATGTTAAACCGAGTAATTAACAAAATGGTTAGTAAAATAAAAAATAATAATGGTAATTAGGAATAAGGTATAAAAAAAAAAAAACATATGTTTTATAACGTCAGAGGGATCATTATTAGTGTTTGACGTTTTAGGTACATTCTTAATGAATAGGTATAAACAATATTTTGGTATTTTCAACAAGGATCGATTTAAAAATCTATAAACATATATATAAATATATAATAATAGCTAAATAAGAAAAACAAGACTTGGGAGTCAATAAATTATAAATTGACCACACCAGTTTATTATAATATGTATGTATAGATATATGTATATATGTAGGATTGATGTAATTTATAATCTAAGACTAAGAAATGGTGTGGCGTTACAAAAATGTTAGACAGCAAAACAGAGTACACACAAGTCATTTATATCTTTAAAGTGCAATATATATATATATATAATGTTTCTAGAGAGCATAGGAACAAATACATTGTTCAATAATTAGCTAACATAAAATTTATAAGCATATTATATATATATATATATATATAGTTTTATCACTTCAAACGTTTCACCTAGTTGATTAACATATTATAATGATATCTTGTGGGGTATATTTGTTGTGGTTAGACAAACGATGAATTTCCAATATTATTGCATTTATTTTTCACTCTGAACTGTAGTTTAATGCTCAGTATTTTTTTTTTTTTTTTTGTGTTGACAAATTCGTGAAAACAGAGAACTTAAATATAGTAGTTATATTATAATTTTTGCTATAAAAAAAAAAACTATTCATTTACTTTTAATTTAACCTAAATAGTGCTCATTTATATTTCTATATGTATATATATATATATCGTTTTTAGAATAACACATACAACGTTTGGTATAATTTTTCTATTTTTTCCATAGGGTTTATATTTTATTGTATTAACGAATGTCACTTCAATTATCTTTGTACATCGATTATTATTGTTAACTATTGGGTATTTGAAGTATTTGCAATTGTATACAATTATTAGGTTATGCCCGCTTGTGCTTTTTTTTTTTTGAATGAAACGTTTGCCAAATTTCTACCGCTGTCGAATAAGTACCTATTTCAGTATTTGATTCATATATTATTATGCTAAGCCCGTTCAACTAGTGTATCATACTGCATTATCTAATTCTGTACAAAAAATTCAATTTTCAAGTGCATTCTAAAATTCGTACACTATATCTATTGTTTTACATAACTTAATTTTCTAAAAATGTGAATTTATGACATCTGTGTTTACCTAGAATAAAAAAAGAGTGGGTTTTTTCATCGTCATCTAGCTTAATAAATTGTTAGAACGTGAGTACCTTATGCTAACCCATTTCTGATCAGATATCTTTACAGCTTTTATCTTTTAATGTACGTTGACATTGTCACAGCTTTGAATTGGCCTAAACATTTTTTTTATTGTCTTTTTTGTCCCTCTTGGTGGACCATCAGCCGATTTCACCAACATTTGTTAATGATTTAACTGATCGTTAATTATATTTTACAACAAGTTAGTGAAAATCGTTGTTAAAACAATTGTTAAGTTAATCAGCCGAAGTCAGCTTGTTAAAAATTCAATTGGCACGTTAAAATCGAATTACTAATTGAGATTTAAATATACAATTATAATATTATCACTTATCAGTTATCACATTTCGTGATAACCAATGAGAACGCTGGAATCAAGGTTAGGTTAGGTAGGTTAGGTAGGTAAGGTTAGGTTAGGTCAACTAACAGTTTGTTAACTCAACAAATACAATTCAATAATAATAACAACGTCGTGGTGAAGTGGTTACTTAATTTCACCTGATGTTCACTTTAAACGAATCGTTAACTAACATTATGTCAAGAGTGTGTGTTTAATAATAGTTGGTGAAACCGGGGCTCTGTCTATCTGCTGTTTTAAGCGCGGCGTAAACGTACAACACGCCTACGGGCTACGCTATACTTTCCGGTAGAAAGTCGGCAAACGTTTTGTTTTACATTAGTCGAGAAGTGCGTACCATTGCAAAGGGTATTATTACATTTTATTATTCGTTTGCCTAACGAAACGACTACTGATTGCTGTTGCTGTGCTTGGCGGCGTTGTGCTTGTCGCCGTCGATCAGGCCGCGCGGTTTCCGTTCCGGTTGCTCGTCGCCGCAGCTCTCCTCGTCCGCCTCGGCCACGTCCCTTTGCGAGTCCTCCGTGCCCGTGGACGAACTGGGCGTGTCCGCCGGCGGCACTTCTTCCGCGGGCTCCGGGGCCGCCACTTTGATCAGCCTGTGCGCGTTCGACCTTGCCGGGATTTGCGGTGGCTCGATCGCCGCCGCCGCCGCCGTCTCGTTGTCACCGTCGCCGCCGTCGTCTTCGTCGGACGTGGCCGTGTCAGTGGTCGGCGACGCCACTATGACGGGCGGCGGGCCTCGCCTTGGCGGTACAGCGGGCACGCACGACGGCTTCGCGGGCAGCGGTGGGGGCCGAGTAACGCCGTTGACGACCGAGGGTGGCAAACACTCCCGAACTGTCTGGAAAACATTTTCGGGGCTCATCAATGTACAAAGGTACCGAACACTGTCTCATGCGGGGGCTACACACGATCAAAGATGATAAAATAGTATAATGTCAACGTGTAATTTGTTGGGGTTTTCTTAAACAAAAAATAAAAATAAAGAGTATTTACACTCCATGCAGATGAATCAATACATGTATATGTGTCCTGATAATGATCTAATACAATCATATTTGTCAAATAGAACACGGTTCTATTGCAAATTTTCCACGGCGTTCCTCGAGGCACGGTTTTAGGTCCTATTATTTTTATTATTTACATTAACGGTTCATTGTACTCCAATATGCCAATAGTATTATAAAAAAAAAAAAAAAAACATTAAACATTGGTATGACAACAATCTATCGGTTAATTAAATTTCTGTTATTGAAACCTATGTACTATAACAGTAGTTCTACTTATTTAGAACTTAACCGATTTACTGGCAACATTTATCGATATTTAACATTTCTCATAAATCATATTCCGCGGTTCACCGTAAATTTAGTGCCTACCTAACAAATTCATTTGACTATCCTCATATCCTTAAATATATATCCTAATATCCTTACATTTTCTTTTATCCTTATATCCCTTTACCTTTAATCTATTATCTCTAATACATTATCTCAATTTATCTCTTTTCTCTTATCTCAGCAGCCGCCGAGTGTGACATCCAGCGTTACGTTTTGGACAAATTTTTAAAACCTGACCCTCAGCCATAAAACATATACATGTTAAAAAAACAACTAATAACAAAATAACTAAAAAGCGTAGAATACAAATGATAATATTGCAGATGTGAATAAAAAGCAAAAAATGTGCAGCCAACAGGTGGAGGTGTTTTTTCCGCTACTTTCGTTCTAGTTTCAAAACTGGAAATAATTGTATAATATGTTTGAAAATTAAAAAAATTAATCTATTTTCTAAACTCTTTAATATCAGCTAATTTCTAAACTCTTTTGGTTTTAATTATCTAATTTCTAAACTTAAGTGAGTGTTAAGCATTCCTATGTTTGAAATTTTATTAAAAAAAAATTAGTTTAAAATAAATACCTGATGTAGCTAAATTAGCTAAAAATGATTCGAAGAACTCACAACTTTATAAAAACATTTTTTAAAAAGACTGATAGGAAAAACTGTTACTTTATAATCAATACTAAAAAACATTGAACATTCGTTTAACTCTGTGGCATAGTTTATTATATTTAACTAAATATTTCGTGTAAATTGTGTGCAATTTTTATTGTTAAGTTATTTAAATGTACATATACGAACAATTAAGTACAAAAGATTTGTATTTTTTAATATGATTATTTATTTGCATTATTTTTTTCCCTAAACTCTATAGGCAGTGTGAAGAATAGAGAGTAGGTAAAGCGGAGGCAGAACATTGGGGTGGCCGACCCCACTTGTGTGAGTTAAGGCGGAGAAGAAGAAGATCAAGCTAAAAATACAGTTGCCAAAATACAATTGAGTTTTTTACATAAAATTTTGCGCTTGTTCCTAACCTGATTTAGTGGGCCAAATCTCTAGCAAATACCGAAGCACGTTCACCGGTTGTTGGAAATCAATTGGTTTTTCTTTGTGTTCGCTTTGCACCATCAACACAGGGGCTAAACATATTGATAGGTTTTGGGCGGACATCTTATTCCGGGGCGATTGCGACACGACTAATGCTAAATGATCCATAATGTACGTCAGAGTGGCCTGTACAGAACAAATCAATAGCGGTTTATTTGAGTTCTGAAAAATGTCGACTTGCAACGTTAAAAATATCAGTTGATCACATACTCTATTGAGTTTTGGCAGACAATCTAATATTGACAACATTAATTTGGCGTTGGCTTGCGGATCGTCCGGTAGTAAAACCGCTAACGCATCGAGAAGCATCTGGTATAGACTTCGGGTGAACAGCGGTTCGGGCAGTTCCCTCAAGTAGTCTTTCAAAACCCCTAAAATCGCAAACGGTATTGGAAATAGGTACACTGCTGTTATTGTTCATGTCGTCACACACTCTACCTGTTATCACATTGATGTCGGGCACGTTGTCGGGCGACAGGTCCACATTTCTAGGATTGCGCTCGAAGGCTTCTCGCAGGATTCGCTTCTTAGAGGCAGAACCGCACAGTCTGTAAAGACCAATGATATCCAATCCTCTCCGTTCTATTTCTTCGATACACCTCCTCACGACCACGGGTACGGACGCGGTGGCCGGAGCTTGCGACAGCGACGACAAGGAACTGGATATAGCACCACTCTCCCTGGTGACGACCGTTTCGAGATCGGTGCCTTGAGAATTGGGAAATAATTAAAAGTTAAATAGGATAATTTTTTTCAAAAACACAGTCCTAACTTACCGAATATACCGGCGGTTTTCGTTCTGGGCGGCAACGTGGACGATGTCCTTAAAGTTTTCCTGATAAAAGTCTGATAGGAATCCGTGTGCCTGAGTCGCAAATACAACGTGCCCCTCGGCTCTACTTTCAATGCTAACTGATGTACGGGACTATCTCGGACCAACGACGCTAAATGCACTGAACCTCGGTAGCACAATTTATGTCTGTACTGCTGGTCCCACGAGTAAATTAAAAAGTCCAATTCCTTGTTGGACAAAAGGTCTAGTTCGAATGTTTCGTCCCAATCGAACACGAGGTCGCCGGTACGCACCACTGTTCTGGCTTTGTGCACGCGATCGCATTCCAATACACAGTATAAATCTCTCGAAGTGCCGGGTGGTGTTGCCAACACTAAGATGTACGTACATAAAATAATTAAACCAATTGCCGGCTTTTAATCTCAAAGTGGTGTACGCTTACCGTTGGGCGGTTGGCCGGGAAGTGCCGCAGTCGAGGAAGCTCTTAGTCCTCTACCGGCTAGAAGATGGACCCACAGCAGCCCACTTATGGGCGGAGCGTTTTCCACGGTAGTCTTTTCAAATTTATACTTTAAAAACTCTAAACACAAACACATTACACGTTGCCAATTATTATTTAGGCGCGATTAGCTGTTTAATGCGGGTGATTTACCTGCCGGGTTGATTTCTAAAACTCTCGCTCTGTCGGCTTGTAAATCGGACGTCGTCGTTGGACTGCGTCGGCCTAGATGTTTGGCTTCGAGTTCCAACAGATGGCGTATTCTTCTCAGCGAAGACGTTCTGGTGTGTCTGTCCAGTGTCGAGGTCGTAGCCGATGGCAATGCCGGAGATCCAAGGCCCCTGAAAGGCCGCAGATCGGAGTTGGCTCCCGCCGAATAGCTCATGATCTCCGAATGTCTGGTTCTTTCCGGTAGGTTCTCTGCGCTGAACGTGAACCGTTGCACTTTTTGTTGCTTCAAAGACGAATCACAAACGTTGCGGATCCGATCGTAGATAGCACTAGTCGACGGTGCACGGCTCATCCAGGCTCTGTACTCGTCCGCAGTAAACACACTAGGAGAGCTGACCATCCGGTTTTTCCGCCGCATTTGGAATTCGGGCGCACTGAGGTTGCCGCCGTCGCTGTCTTCGTGGTCGCTCAAGAATGACGATATTTTCGGATTGTCTTGTGTATTGTAACGTCTCAAACTGCCTCTCAGACTGTCGAATCGCGCGGAATTAATCACCGGCTATTTATTGTTAGTCGGTTAATACCTACCTGGTGTTCAGGGACGACAGCGGTGTCCGAGGTGTACGTATGTCTCTCGGCAGTGAATTTGATCGCAACGAATTACTTCTGGATATCGTAGCGCTCCCCAATCTCGACAAATTCGTAGTTCCTATTCGAATAAACGGTCAACACAAATGAGACAATCTTTATCGTTCAACGGTTTATTGTTAAATTGCGCTGTTTATAACCTGGCACGTGTTGAGATCCTCTGTAATAATACGGCGACGTTGACGTTACTTTCGTCGCCTCGGTATCCGATGCATAGTCTAAATGTCTCGGTAAGGTTCTCGAAGCTCCTTGTGAGTATTGCGATATTAATCTGGAGCTGGATCCCGCCCCAGCACTACTTCTAAGCCCGGATCTCATCAGAGTTTGCGATTGCCGGTATGGCCCTAAAATGGCGTTTAAAAATCAGTTGTTGTTATTTTATGACCACCACGAACCACTTACTGTTTCCATAGTCGTATTCAGATTTAGGTAGATACTGATCCGAACCGGATCTCGGTAAATTGTTTCGACGCTGTTGCTGTTGTTGTTGTTGTTGTGAGGTCGTCGCCGACATTCGTCTGCCAGTCGACGACCCACCCGGACAGAAGGGATGTACTTTTTCGGCTAAAGATTCTAATGTTTTTGGATATGCTTTATCGTACGGTTGAAAATGTTGTGGTTTCGGTTGTTCGTTGACAATTGGTGGCCGAGGAGGTTGATATGACCAGTTATTGCGTCGATCGAGCTGTTAGCAAATAAAAAATATTAACGAGGTTCACAATACGGTAAGTTTAATTGAGATTTAATTTAGTTTTGAATCGTGTAAATGACGATTAGTATACCGTAGACGTTTGTCTTCTCGATTCTGGCGGCCTGGAATTGTAAAATAAATCTCCTGAAAAATCACCATTAGAATCCAGAGCTAGCTGCGACTGTGATCTTCCTCTCGAGTCTCTCCGACGTTGTTGGTCGTGAATATTGTCTTTACTTCTGTGCACTCTCCTGCAGAAGAAATTACTTGTCGAGTTACATAAAAAATTGTCTGGTATGTATAATATTATGCTATTTGTCATACACACCCCGTTGTCATGTACGATCTGGTGTGAATGTCATCGTCGTCTTCGTCGTGTTGATCATCGGATTCTCTGCTGAGATCTTTTTTGATCACAACCACTGGCGGTTGATGATGACTAGGCATAGCCGAAGCTAGTGAAACGTTGCCCGTTATCCTATGAACACCTCTTGTTTGTCTCAACGCTAAGACAAGTCGTCTTGGTATTGACATGATAATCACAACCTCGTCTACAGCTTTGCGGGTAACGTCGACTAGATTAACAGCTAAAACTTCGTCGCCCACCTATTCGATGGAATATAGTTTTTAGAATACAAAATCTAACGCAAAGACGGCCAAATCAAATGTAACTGTACCTGAATGCATCCGCTATTGTAAACCGCCGACTCTAAAGCCAGTCTAGAAATAAACAGACCGTCATGGCGGTCTACTCCGTTTCCTTCCCTAATGTACAACCCCAGCGTTTGACCGGGTCTCTTTATTATTTCAACGAGATTTACTATGTGGTGTCCGTCCTATTACACATAAAACCATACAGCGAGTTGAATTATTACAATAAATGAACAAATAAACACTATGTAATGTAATGTCTCTATGACTATTACTTGGAGCATGAGGAATTTTTTGGCCGCATCTGTTGCAGTCTTGGTAAGATGAATTCTAGGATCCAATATACGCACAACCATTTCACCTCTACGTTGCACCGCGTCCAGGGCTGCCGCTGTAGTTGCATCGTACTCATTTTCTATAGTGTCGATCAAACGAAAATCTTCTTTACTAATTCCGCTTAACTAAAAAAAAAAAAAAACAATACAAGTACAGTATTAAACTACAGTACAGTTTTTTTTTCATTTAAAGAAACTGCGTGGATTTTTTTACTTTTCGAAAATCACTTTGTAAGACTACTGGCAGTGCGTCTTTCGTTTTTGTCCCTGCGGGCAGTGGTTGTTGGTGTCTGGATGTCGATGATAGATCTTGAGCTCGGTCACGACCCTAAAATAAATTATAAAACAACAACGACATTTAGTTGAAAAACATAATTCATATTTTTTCATGTTCAACATTAGACGACTCACAAAAAATTAATAAATAACTTTACAAGCCAAACAACGTGGACCGTTAACACTTTAATGGCCTACGTGTTTCAACGTGTAAAATAATTGTCACTAGGTTTTTATTTATTAGGAGATATTGAGGAGAAGCACAGGAGAAGGAATATCGTCGAGCCAAAGCGTTTAAGGCATGCGTTATAATAGTTAATGAGAGACGGCGTGACGTTTATGGAGGAACTGCGGGTGGCCAAGGCGTTTTGGGGAGCAGGTGAATATTTTTGATGTTAATAAAATCCTATATTGTAATAACATAAACGGATCCTGTCCCGGATGGGATAATAATAATTGACAAAAAAAAAAAAAAAAACACCAACCTTTCTCGATATGAAGAAACATCCCGAGCTGGAATTCTTGTCACACATTTGTGCTAAACGTGTTTAGCGTCGGCTATTGATAGTATTGACGTTTTTATTCAGATAAATTATTATCTGAATAATAATTATCGATGATATGTACCGACGACATGGTTTAAAACTTTAGCATTTTAGACGTGGGAAGCATATACGCGTCGTGGAAAATGATTTTTCCAGGACGCCCATCTAGCAGTGTTCCATTTATGCGTGTGTGTGTTAGCCAGCCACTACGCTTGCGCACAGCTACTACCCCTGCACGGTATTTATGGCGCCCGCCCCATAATTACCGGGCAAACACACGGTCGGGCGTGCTGTACACTGCTTGTAATACTTGCTGCCACAGTAGCGTGTTGTACTTTTTCTGGCTTTGATGTTTTACAATATTCTCAACGGTACTCGAAACACGGTGTACGATACAAATGCTATAGTGTATACACATTGTGTACCGTGTAGTACTACAGGTACACACGGTAGTAGTTGTGTATTTGGGTCAATGAAAATATATATATATATATATAATGAGAGGGAAAAAACATTGTCTCATTCAAAAGCTGCGCAGTTGATCAATTAAAAAAAAAAAAAAATCTGACGTGTTACCCGAACCACAGTCGATGGTGGCGGTATAAAGTTGGCAAATTGGCCAAGACTTTTTCCAAGTTAGAAACTTTACTAATTTGGAATTGGGATCTTAAAAGTTGGCCTGGTATACAGGCATACATATGTTGGTTTCAACCTTCATTGGTTCCGTTTGGAGTGTGTGTGTGTGTGTGTGTATACGTGTGGGTACGAACATGTGCTTTCCGTATATATATATATATATATATACACTAGGGGTGGCCGCCAATAGTAGTGTGTACTGATGAGATCAATATATAGAACGTTTTGTATACCATGTGTACCTGTTATTAAAGCGATTTATAAAATATAACAAACAGTAAATAAAAACTAATGTAAAATGTATTATCAAGGTACGCGCCACGGTTGTTGAGGGTCGACGGTTTTGTTATTGTTTTTACTTGCAAGAATACTTATTGTAACAACAGTGGATTCGCATATCAACCATGTAGAGGGTTGTTCTATTGCGATTTTCTCTAGTTATATGAAGCTTGTAAAAAAAAAAAACCTAAAAAATTGAATAATTATACTGTAAAAATGTTTTACTTGGTAAACGTGCTGATTTGAACGGAAAATATTAACAAAAAAATATGAAAAAACCTACTTTTATGATAATTAATAGTAATTTTATTGAGGCTATAAAAAATATATAGTACTTAATTCACAGTTGAGTCAAAACAGCCCCCCCCCCCCTAAGAAGATATTAATGCAATTTTTTGTATTCTATAGTAATTTATTTCAGTAACCCAGACAAATATGAAGACCCGACAATATTTATTTTTTGATAATTTCTGAACAGTACTACTTTGAGGTAGTTTATAAGGACGAATAATTGGTATTACTCAATTTTTACCCAGAACTAAAATAATAGAAATTATCATACAACGAAATAAATGATTTTACTGTACATGTTTCATAATTAACAATTTCTTTTATTTTTAAGGACTATTTTTTACAAGTTGCATATAATTTCCAGTTACTTAGAATTGATTGTTTTTGTTCTCAAATTATTTTTATCTACCGGAAAACTTTACCTGACATATTTTTTGGACTAAAAGATTTAAATTGCTAAAAAATTCAGTTTCTTGTAATTAAATAAATAAAATTTACAATTTTTTCAAAATTAAACCCAATTTTTACATAAAAAAGCAAAAATTCAAAAATCTGTTTCTTACCCTAACCTAGTAAAGTTGGCAAAAAACTTGTATGTCTTTACAGAATTGAAATCGGACCGTCCTAAGTAGTCGAACTTTCGTCTAGCTTTTGGTCTAAAACCTTAAAAAAAACAGACCGCATGCAATCCCTTTAAGGGGCCTCTACAACTGCATATTTTTGGTCGAAATCAACTCATTCTATTTGATTTAAGTACTGAAAAAAAACATTAAAATTCTTCATAACATTTTCAAGGCAATGACTGTGGCACAATTTTAAAATTATTTTTTGTTAATTAATTATATCAGTTTAAAAAAGTTAAAAATTTCAGTTTTTTTACATAAACAAAATTAATTAAGAAAAAATAATTTTTTTAATTGTGCCACAGTCATTGCCATGAAGAAGAATTCAAATGTTTTTTTCAAAAACTTAAGTCGAGGAATTCTTAGGATCAGGTACATTTAAAGTAGAAACATATTGTACAAAAATAGAACCTATATGCGTTATAAAAGTAAAAAATAAAAAAGTAATTATCAAAACAGATAGTTCTTTCCGATGGGTAATATGTATGTTTAACAATTATAGCTTAAAATGACGCTGCCCACACATATTTATCCTATAGAAATGACTGTGATAGTCTCATAGACAGAGATCCTATATAATATTGGGGGGGGGGGCTTACATTTTTTAATTTTTAGGTGTAGAGATCCCACACCCCCAACAAAAAGTTTAGTTATACAATTTTTTTACACAACATACCAATTCTTAAACATTATAAATTTATTATTCTATTACAATTTTTAGAAAACGTATCTAAGACCATTAGATGGTATTTGAACATTTTTTTTTAATCTTATTTCTGAAAACAATTTTTTTCAAATTCTAAAAACCACTAGTTTATATTGGAAGGTCAAACGGTTATCAACAAAGTATCCTCATTACTGTGTTAATAAGTACACATTATAGTTCAAACTCATAATATGAGATTTTTCGAAAAATTGCCTATAGTTTACTCCTTAGAAATAACCAGGGTAGTGTTAAGTTTTAGCGAACAGTTGCCTGTACAATGGGCCTAAATAAATGCTAATGTAGAGAGGCCCCCTTAAGAGGGCGTCGCACAGCCTATTTTTAAGGAGTAAAGTATAGGCAATTTTTCACAAAATCTTAATTTAAAGGTTAAACTGTGATGTGTAATTATTAGTTCAATAACAGCTAGGACTCTATTTTGGTGGTTAATTTATTTTTCGGACTATCACAGCGTGCTTGAAAGCGATTTAAAAATGTTTTTTCATCTCTACACACGTTTAAGCAGACTGAAAACAACTCGCTTAATTTTGGTTTTACAGTAAATGCGCCCATTATAAAATTAAAAGAGAACAATATTCCGGAGGGCAAGACGGTGCGTTTTTTTTCGTTATTCCAAGTATAACGCTCAGTCTGCTTAAACATGTTTTTACCACTGAAAATCACCGGTGCGACGCCCTCTTAAGAAATCGGTTTAGGGTTGTACATTGGAGTTTTATGATATCTACCAGGTATACATCAGCTAGTACTACAATTACAAGTCCAGTCACCACCATAGTAACTGCCGGTGTTTGTACTGTACACATACCGCCGTCACGTGTTCGGTGTGTGTGTGTAAAAAGCTGTCAAAGTTAGTAAAAAATAGTGCCGCGCTTATATGCAAGTGGGTCATACGTCACGATCAATATACCCAAGCGACACCTGACGGCGGCAACCACGGTTCAAACTGGCCAACTTCTTATCAGTGAAAACAAATCACATTATCAGTGCCGTAATAATAATATCATCGTTCAGTTTACAATAATTAATATCATATTAAATAAAATACATATTTTGTTACTCGCGTCGGTCGTTTCCAAATTAGTTAATGCCGGTTTGGCTTTTTTTTTACTTCAACGTTCTCTCGTTATTAAATCAATAAATGCGTTACAGTACAGTCTCTGTACTCGAATAGTATGTGTTGGCCATGTAGATACGACAAATTAGATCTTATTTAGAAATACATTACAAAAAAATAAAAAGATCATGTGCTGACTGTAAAATTTAATCGGTAAGTAAGTAAATAAAACGTTTATTTATTCGACCGGTTTTTTAAATTTTTTTTATTATTATTGCTTTTTAGCAAGAAAAATGCATACGTCATGTGGTCACATCAGTCTCATTCAGGATGGCTGTGGCGCCATATCGTCGGCCCAAACCACGATAGAATCCGCTCCTGTTTTTACAAAGAAACCGCCAAACGCGCGAAAGCCAAATATACCAGAGCACGAAATAAAAAACTTCGATATCATAAAAGCCAGCCAGTACGGATTATTAGACAGGTGTACGCAACTCGTCGAAGAAGGTTATGACGTGAACTCGCCTGATCCTCAAAATATATATTTATTACACTGGGCTGCTATCAACAACAAAGTGGACGTGATCAAGTATTACATATCCAAAGGCGCTATTGTAGACGCCGTTGGCGGCGATTTAAAAGCAACCCCGTTACACTGGGCTACGAGACAAGGACATTTGGACGCCGTTGTTCTGTTGATGGCCGAAGGGGCCGATCCTTGTTTTTTTGACATCGAAGGCCATTCGTGCCTACATATTGCCGCTCAGTTTGGGTTTACCGCAATTGCTGCTTACATGATTGCCAAAGGTGTCGATATTAATTTAAGAGATAAAGACGGAATGACTCCTTTGATGTGGAGTGCATATAAAACATTAGGAGCCGATCCTACTAAGTTGTTAATAACGCTCGGCGCTTCAATGTCCGTGCAAGACGATATCCATAGAAATACTCCCCTTCAATGGGCTCTAGTTAGTCGAAATCCAACGGCCATCAGCATTCTAGTCAAGAGAGGGTCTCCCTTAAATATAAGAAATTCGGTCGGATACACAGCGCTTCAGTGGCTAAACGAATCTAGATCTGAAGTTTGGATTGGATTGGAAACGATGAAAAAAGTAGACGAAAAATTGAAACCAAAGAATTTCTTACTTAATAAATTAAATGAACAAACAATATCCGTCTTAATTGTTTCTACGGTTTTTTACGTCATCGGAAGCATATTAGATTCTCATATGATTTACATAGCAAAAATATGTTGTTTAATTGCTGGCTACTTAATAATGTATAAGTTAAACCGTGCTTACTCCGCCGTGTCGCAAACATTACCAGTGTCAATTTACTTTGCAACAAAATTTTGGATGTACGCCACGTGGATATTTTGGATTTTGCCAGTCGTGGGCTTCTCTTGTTCACTCGCGTTTTTTATCACTACGTCGTTGTTGTGTTACAATTTCTACTACAGTTGGAGAGGTAACCCAGGATATGTGCCAAATGCCAAAAGCGACCAATACGCTACTATCATCGAGTTGGCTGAAAGTTTTGGATTTCGTTCAGACGTATTTTGCAGTACATGTTTGATAAAAAAGCCCATACGATCAAAACATTGCAGTATATGTAACAGGTATATCGAATGTGCACTATGATAAATTTAATTTTTGTATTTATTTAGAATTTTTTATTTTTTTTACAGGTGTGTAGCCAAATTCGACCATCATTGTCCATGGGTTAACAATTGTATCGGAGTGTTAAACCATCGGTATTTCATTGGTTATATTTTATCCCTACTTACGGCCTGCGGATTCATCACGTACGGCTGTGTGAGTTACTTGAAATTAGTGTACTATTTTAACGAGCGCTCCGATTACGACAATACGTTTGTCGTTATCTGGGAAATGCTCAAACTGGACTCGTGGATCGGGTGGATTATGGTGAACGCCATTTTGCATGCTGTATGGGTAGCGATACTGTTTTGCTGTCAAATGTATCAAATAGTTTGGCTCGGCATGACCACCAATGAACGAATAAACGCGTCACGTTACGAACACTTTGTTGCCCACGGAAGGAGCTATAAAAGCCCGTACAACCGTGGAAAACTGCAAAACCTTATAGACTTTGTGCAGTTTCGATGGTTAATACATGTTAAATGTTTGAACGAACAGGTTTGGTTTAAGTATTGTGATTTTCAACTCTTTGTGGAAAGAGAATTCAAAATATACAATAAAACCAATTGTGAACACGTCTAATAACCAGATAAGACGAGATTGTTTTTTTTTTAAATTAAATATTATCGTAATATTAAGTATGTCAATTTTTTCGCGATATAAAATTATATTTTGACGTTTACGTATATTGTATCCACGTGTATGTAGATAGATTTTGTTTAATATATTTTTAACATAACAATATATTATTATGATATGAGAACTGATTGTGTAACAAACTAACTTGTTCCTCTTCACGTACTATCTCACGTTTTTTTATATTTTTTATTATTGTTAAGCAACATTTTGTTATCCTTTATTAAACATTACAATAATATAACGCAATTGAATTCTGTCTATTTATATATTTTTTGTTTACAACAAAATGCATGTAATTTTTCTAAAGTGCCTTCTGTGTTTTTAAACATTAAATGTCAGCTTTACACAAAAATATCTCGACTAATATGTAGCTAACAAAAAAAAAGAGAAGATTTTTTTAATATATATCGCTCTTATTAAATGTATATTTTTTAATAACTGTTATCCGGCAAGGCATAATCAAATGGCCTTTGTACAAACTGTTTAAAAGTTCTTTGAGCTTCCAAAAAATGAAGTCTAATTATTGGTAAAATATCATATTTTATTGTAAATCAATTTTATTTTATTTAAATGCATAGTAGGTGGGTTCTATTGTAAATGAGAAATAATAATAGGGCAAAAAATTAGAATAAGTGAACTTACTAAATAATTGTTGCGAGTATACTTCATTAAATTACATTAAATAGCAACTAATTTTGCTTATAAAATAAAAAATAAATAATTAGTATAATATAATTGAGTGTCATGTCATCCACAGTGACTTTATTTTATTTTATTTATTTCTTATGTGATAACGTGTTGCGATTATTTTCCCGTAGTGGTTGACGTACAAACGGATTTATATTTTTCTGTTTTGCTACTTAAACTAATATATTGATTATATTCTCATTGTTATACTTACAGGCGCAATGCGCGTTAAAATTAAAATAAATTTTTTTTCTTCTTATTTACATAATATTTTATTGAAAATGTCCTTGCCAACTTGCGTTTACTTTGTGTGTCTCGTGCCAAACACAAACTACTGGTGTTATTATATAAATAATACATTGATTGTACGTATGTATGTATGTTAATTAATTAGAACTGAAACATGGTTTTTAAAAGGCTCTCGGTCACAGATCGATAAAAGTATCGAAGGAGCCGTCGTTGTCGATGTAGAGGAAATCTCAAGATGACATAAGAAAGGTGTTTATCAATTACATATTATGTAAATTATTAGTAACAAAAATTAAAATCGTTTTTATTTTTTTTATTCAATTTACAATATTCGGTAAAACAAAAGCCAACATTTATTTATTCGTGTATTATGGGCATGTTCATACGAATGTAGTAAAAATTGCCTATACTAAACTCCTTGAAAATAAACATTACAAGGTTGAGAGGGTGTTACAATTATCAAGTAAAATTATATAAAATCACGCACTCCCTATAATTTTGGTGAGCAGTCCACCTTTATATTTTAATAAAGTTGTTTATATATATATATATATATATATAGATGAAAACCTAAATATAGTAATAAGGTAAAGGAAAATAACATGTGCTATTACCAAATGTATAATTTGGGCTTGTTGTGTGTGCTTAAGAGCCGAAAAATTGTTTTCAGAATGTTTGGTTAATATTTTTCAAAGGAAAATTGTGGTATTGAAAAAATAGCTCATTGTAACATCTGGCCATAAACTACATGTATTTAAATTTGAGCAATTATTTAACAAACCAAAATTAGTTGGAGCGCCACCAAATATAGATTAGGTATTTTTGTTAAATTATTATTGTTTTTCGGTCAACAAAACCGACGTTTAAATCAAATAGCATTTTTAGATTGTTTTATTATTTAATGATAATAAATTCATAAACGTGGTTCGTTTGATGTGCATAACACAGTGAATTTATACAACTCGTAAGTTATTTTAATGTTTTTCGGGTGGTTTGTATTACAATATATTTCTTTTTGATAAAATATTATTTTAACAAGGGAAACTCTAGGGAAACGTTTCAGTATAATATATTTTGTATGCACTACACAACGATATTCGGTAAAAAAAAAAAAAAACATTAATATAAAAAACCGTTCCATTAATCATGTACTCTAATATCGATTTTTCATTTTTTTAGTCAGGGTACGTTGCAGTTTATTTATATAAAAAAATAAAAACATTTTCGCGCCCCTCCAAACAAGACGCTGAATTAAAAAAGAAAACCTCCCTTAAATTCTGCTGTGGTAGTCTATATTTATGTATAGAATTGACAACAAACACCTTTTCGACCATTAGAGTGTTTTTTTTTTCATTTTCAATACACCTTGACCTTTATTGTACTTACCTGCACGCTGCATGTGTGGCTTTTGTAACTTTTTTTGTACCTTGATATGTTTACACGATACCAAACGTATTTATTAAAGTAAGGCGTAAGCTATTAAATTAATACGACCCTTTTAATTATTTTAAAAGAGAGAGAGAGAGGTGGGAATGTCTGAACCAACACTATACATGCCCATCGACGATTTAATGTAATTGACAGGAATATTATTGAAGGAAATTCTCGAGAAAATTAAAATAACCATAAAAATAGATGTAAAAAGAAAAACAAAGTAAAAAAAAAAGAAGCTATATTTAATGTAATAAACATTATAAAACGTCGTTATTAAAAAAAAAAAAAAACATTTTGTATCAACACTAAAATTAAACGCGGTAAAGTGTTCATTTTTTTAAAAACATTTTTGTCTAATTATTATTTGCATAGTTTTTTTTTATTCTTAATAAAAACAGACGAAAGAAATTATTTTACAAAAAAATTATGCTCACTGAATTGCTTATAAATTAAATTTTGATTTAATTCAATTCCGTCGCTGATAATTTGAATAGGTACTATTTATATGCGCATTCAAATATATTTAAATGTAATATTCAAATGAAACGTCCGGTCACCCTTGTTTTTTAAGTATTTATAGGCAAACATTTAAGTTTTAAATCCACTTCTAAAATCTAATATATATACCTACATTGCATCTTAAATTTTGCTGACTTTTTTTTTACACTTGCGAGCTAACCCATATCAAAACAAGGTTTGTCTCTTTGTGTACTTTTGTTTGCTAGTATTTTATTATACATTAGATTAGATAGTACACAGTTTACCATGTGGATACCGTTTACTATTATTACATTACCAGTTTTTGATGATTACTTTTAAAGTTTATCGTTTAAGATAAAAATAACAATTACACTACACTACAACACCTTTGCTCGATATTTCCAGCAAATTATAGTGTCTGCCGTTGAATCGATCACCCTGTACATTCAATATCTCAATAATGTATATACAACGAGAAAACTTGTTGGGCTGCTTTTTACATTATGCTGCGTTTTTACCAGGTACATATTATATTGTATAATATATTATAAGGCCCTCGAGGGTAACGAAAGTAGTTTTGAAAGACCTGACCTCGTGGGACAATATTGTGCAAAGGCCGAGTCTGTACTTGTACCTATACTTTATTAAATGCATCCTATACATATTGTTTCAGTCGTCTCCTGGGAGATGCCTTTACTGTGATTACACATTAAAAAGACACCTGCATAAATAAACCTCTGTTGTACGTTAAGTCCCGGTAAAAAAGGTATGTTGTGTATAGCTTTGCATTTTTCCACACACAGTTAAGACCTGGTCAAAGTGCCAAACGTTAAAGTGTCTTGAAATTAATATCATCGTTTTGCGATTTTTTTTCATATTATCATAAAATATTAAAAATTCTAATTGCAACAAAACCGTTTAGCTGAAAATTACAAAGTCGATGGGCAACTAAGATACATTTTAGTGGGACATTTTTTTTTCTTGACAAATATTCGTGACCTTTGCTAAAAATATGGATAATTAAAAACCTAACCATTTAAAGTTCAAGTCAGAAATATGTACTAATGCATCACATTAAGTTACTTGAAAGTTGAAAATGTAAAAAGTGGTTAAATAGGGTCCAATAATGTAATTACTTCTGTAAACAAGGTATGTATAAATAACATTTTCTGTGTCAAAAGCTATTGAAAGAGTTATGTTTAATCTGCGTTTACAATTATTTTTTTTAGCTTCATAAGAGTAATTTTTAATCGATATATCGATTACAGCGACTGTGTGATTTGCCATGCCTGTATGGCTATATACCAATATATAATATCACTCTTGTATTAGCATATTATGGTTTATATTTATGTACCCTATAATGTATAGTAAATACACAGTGTTTTGAAAATTGATTTGACGTGGTGCATAATGTATTAATTAAATCTGTACCTGGAATCGAAAAGGGTCAAATTCGATTTTTGAAATAATTAAGTTTACCTTTACATAAGCCCTATGGCTTATTCTAAGATTCGCATCTCTGACACTATTGACCCTTTGGGAAATCAAAACGTTGATGTCCACTTACCGATAAAAAGTTAGGCTAGGTACGAAATTGGTCCTTTTAAGATTTAAACCAGATTCAGTCAGCAGTGAGCTGAATACATACAAGTATACAGATATATGTATATATTATATTATATACATAAATTTCAAGTATACAGGATGATCCATCTGATGTAAGATACTAATTGGCTCAAGTACATGTTTTACTATATTTTTTAGTACGTTGAACATTTTTACCTTGATCCCTTAAAAGTGAAAACGGGCATGGATCTTTTTTTTTTTGTAATAGTAACATATACTTTAATTCCATTAATATGTAGAAAAACGTTTTTAAAAAAAGTTAACTTTTGAATTTTTGATTTTTGTCAATCTGTTCGATTGCTATGACTTTGCCTAAGATATTACATTTCCCCTTATAACTATCATAATATGTATTCGGTTAGGTTAGGTTAAAAATTTAAACGCTTTAATTGCCTACATATTAGGTAATGGAATTAAAAACATGTTATAATTTGAAAAAAACCAAATCCATATATTTTTTTATGTTTAAGCGGTGGAGGTAAAAATGTTCCAAGTATCGAAAAATATAGTAAAATATGTACCTAAAATTGTAGGAACAAAATAATTTTCAAAATATTCATATTCTCCCAGAATATAAGTGTCTTTACATCAGATGCGTCACTCGCTGAATTATGTAAGTTGTAAAATCAAATCGGTTAATGTGCTTTATAGTTTCCTGTATAAAATATTTCTGTCGGAACGTAACTTAATACTGTTATATATAGACTTCTGGCTTATAGTACATGTTCCTGCCTGCAAACTGGAATATTGTGATGTAATATTAACCACCTAGGCATTTCAATGTTACTGCGGCTACAATTAATTTTTCGGAATTCTAATCGATTCTAATCCATTATACTTAGGCACAGCTGGTATGGTCCAAAATAAACTTGACACGATTTATTAACGGACCATTGAAACCACGAAGGTTAAAATTATTATACTTGTATAATTATACCGTTCCATTTCATGTGTGTTCCGCTCTGGGAAGAATAAATATATACATATCTATATAGGTATTATCGTTGCCGGTCGGTGTCGTCGGATAAGGAATATATTATACACAAGCTAGCAGAATATGGTCGTCTTCATGTTTGTCCTTAAGATTTGCAACCGTACTTTTACACTTGTCCCGATGGATCAACTCGATCGGTCGGTAATGAGAAAAAGTTGTAAGGCCTTAGATTTTTATTTTTCTATATTTTATGGGTTTTCCTTTTTTAAAAAAAAAATCTTTGAATTTATAATATAGCGAGAACGGTCTATCATTTTTTTTTTTGTAATCGTCTAATAATTTATTATCTGATTATAATTCTGCGGTGCTCGGTGACAAGGTCTTAGGTGCAAAAATTGCGAAAATGGGGTTAAATATATTATATAAGGGATGAATTTTGGTTTTTTTTTAAAAATATTTTTCTCGAGTTTTATTCACAAAGTTTAAATTTCATATCGCCAAAATTAGTTATTTTCAACATACAAGACCTTTTTCCCGAGCCGTGGAGAATTAAAAATTTTTAATTTAATTTTTATAACAGCTATGAGTGCACTCTTACCTTCTTGCGGCCGCAACAGAGCATGGTAGGCGATGAGTTATGATTTTTAAACGGTTTTCCGGCCGTTACCATGTTCTATCCCATTTTGAATAGCATTCCAAGTGCCGGTGCTCGGTGGAAAACCTCGACTTAAACCGTCGTCCAAAAAACATACACAATATTGAACACACATACATAAACGACCACGAGAAATGGACCAGGAGGCCGTGTATACCCGGTATTAGGTAATGTTTATCGGTTTGTATTATTATCGTTTACGGCATGCGTTGATGATAATTGGCGGATATATATATATATATATACATATTTTCCTGATTCGATAAAATAATAATTGACCGCCGAAACCGTGTGATAAAAACGCACGCGTGTCGTTTACAAGGGCCGAGAGCACAATAATTATGGTCAGCGTGGCATACTGGCTAATGGCCGAGGGTGAAGAAAAGCGCTGGCGCGGTGCCGGGCGCCGATCGATGAGCTCGCGCCCGCAGACCGCGCGCGTTTTCGTCGCACCCTTCGCGCGGGCATTTCAAAAGGGGGAGGAGTACAAAAAAAAAAAAATACTACCGTAAGTATAACACTACCCCCCCCCCCCCCCCCGCGGGTACCATCTCCTCCTACCTACTATAGCAGCCACTACACATCCAGCCAGCTCGGCGCACGATTCATCCACGTGGTTCCGGCCTCGCCGTTTTCCCTCGGTCCCTCGTCGTCGCCTATATACTGCTGAACATTATTCCCCATGAGAGGGCGTCGCACCGCCTATTTTTAAGGAGTAAAGTATAGGCAATTTTTCACAAAATCTTAATTTAAAGGTTAAACTGTGATGTGTAATTATTAGTTCAATAACAGCTAGGACTCTATTTTGGTGGTTAATTTATTTTTCGGACAATCACAGCGTGCTTGAAAGCGATTTAAAAATGTTTTTTCATCTCTCTACGCGTTTAAGCAGACTGAAAACAACTCGCTCAATTTTGGTTTTACAGTAAAAGCGCCAATTATAAAATTAAAAGAGAACAATATTCCGGAGGGCAGGACGGTGCGTTTTTTTCGTTATTCCAAGTATAACGCTCGCAATACATAGTTTAGAAATAACGACTATTTTAACATTTTTAAATGACTGTAAATTTTCAAAAACATTTTTTTTTTTTTTAAACGCACCGTCTTGCCCTCCGGAATATTGTTCTCTTTTAATGGATGCTTTTACTCTAAAACTAAAATTAAGCGAGTTATTTTCAGTCTTCTTAAACATGTTTTTACCACTGAAAATTACCGGTGCGACGCCCTCATAAGAATCCCTATACAACAAGGTGATCCAATACTAACGCGAGACACTAATATTTTACTTTTAGGTACACATTTTTCAATACTTGGAACATTTTTACCTTCACCGCTTATACGCAAGAAAAATTACCGACAAAGTTATAATTAATGAATTATAAGTTATTAGACGATTACAAAAAAAAAAAAAAATGATAGTTAAAACGTTCTCGCAATATTATAAACTCAGAAGGTTTTTTTATTAAAAAAAAAGGGAAAACCTATAAAATATAGAAAAATACAAATCTAAGGCCTAACAACTTTTTTCATTACTGACCGATCGAGTTGATCCATTGGGACAAGTGTGAAAGTACGGTTGCAAATCTTAAGGACAAACATGAAGACGACCATATTTCGCTAGCTTGTGTCCATATATAATAATATATTACTTATTCGATGACACCGACCGGCAACGATAATACCTATAAAGATATATATGTATTCTTCTCAGAGCGGAACACACATGAAATGGAACGGTATAATTATTCAAGCATAATAATTTTAACCTTCGTGGTTTCAATGGTCTGTTAATAAATCGTGTCAAGTTTATTTTGGACCATACCAGCTGTGCCTAAGTATAATGGATTAGAATCGATTAGAATTCCGAAAAATTAATTGTAGCCGCAGTAACATTGAAATGCCTAGGTGGTTAATATTACATCACAATATTCCAGTTTGTACGCAGGAACCTGTACTATAAGCCAGAAGTCTACATATAACAGTATTAAGTTACGTTCCGACAGAAATATTTTATACAGGAAACTATAAAGCACATTAACCGATTTGATTTTACAACTTACATAATACAGCGAGTGACGCATCTGATGTAAAGACACTTATATTCTAGGAGAATATGAATATTTTGAAAATTATTTTGTTCCTACAATTTTAGGTACATATTTTACTATATTTTTCAATACTTGGAACATTTTTACCTTCACCGCTTATTCATAAAAAAAATATGGATTTGGTTTTTTTCAAATTATAACATGTTTTTAATTCCATTACCTAATATGTAGGCAATTAAAGCGTTTGAATTTTTAACCTAACCTAACTGAATACATATTATGATAGTTATAAGGGGAAATGTAATATCTTAGGCAAAGTCATAGCAATCGAACAGATTGACAAAAATCAAAAATTCAAAAGCTAACGTTTTTTTAAAAATGTTTTTCTACATATTAATGGAATTGAAGTATATGTTACTATTACAAAATAAAAATGATCCATGCCCGTTTTACTTTTAAGGGATCAAGGTAAAAATGTTCAAAGTACTAAAAAATACAGTAAAATATGTACTTGAAAAAATTAGTGTCTTACATCAGATGGATCATCCTGTATACTTGAAATTCATGTATATAATATAATATATACATATATCTGTATACTTGTGTGTATTCAGCTCACTGCTGACTGAATCTGGTTTTAAGCTTAAAAGGACCAATCTCGTACCTAACCTAACTTTTTTCGTTAAGTTAACATCAACGTTTTTATTTCCCAAAGCGTCGACGGTGTCAGAGATGTGATTCTTAGAATAAGCCATAAGGGCTTAGGTAAAGGTAAACATAATTTCAAAAATTGAATTTGACCCTTTTCGATTCCAGGTACAGATTTAATAATTGCATTATGCACCACGTACATATTTTTCAATTTTTTGAAAATTTTTATCACCAACCCTTATAAGCCAAAAAGGGAGATTTTTGTTTTTTTTTAAACGGTAACATATGTTTTTGATTACATAAATTTGCAGACAATTTGTCTACAAATTTATGTTACCATTAAAAAAAAAATTCAGTAATTTATGTACCTAAAAATAAATATGTACCAACACTTAGAAGTTGTATAAAAAACATGTGACATTGGCACTCGTATATTTTATTTCACAGTATATAAAAAATATAAAATATATAGGTAGGTATAATAATATTATACTTAACTGTTTTTTTTCTATTATCGAGTACGTTACTATAATATTAGTTTAATATAAAAATATAAATGTAGTGAGTAAGTAATCAGTCGAAAATGTATATATAAATAATAAAAAAACCTTACTGAGCTATGTTTTCAATCAATGTGTACCTCCTATCGTTTTGTCAACATGCGAACAACGACAAGACAAAAATCTTGGCGTATATTGTCGTTTCGCTAACGTGTGACAAATAGGCGTTTTCGTCGCAGTTGGACCATCTGTGTGGAAAAAAAATAACCAAAACTCCATTTATCTTATACTACATGCATTTATGGATCGCAACAAGAACAGCTTTTGCCACATTTTGGGCCCAAAACACTTATTCGTCGGACTGGAATTGATGAATTTCAGGGTCCGGTATTCTTCTCTATGGCAACTAATAATTAGGTAGTATTTGGTTGTTCTTGTTACAAGCCATAGGACAGTGATTATTATAGATATAAAAATATAAAAAATGTGAAATTTGTCACTTACATGTTTCCTTCGGTATCAAACACCGACAAACGGTCGACCAGCACCGGAACAATGGAAAAACTTGCGGTTTCCGTTTCCGTTTGGTAGGCTAATGATTGGAAACTCAGCTCCACGGTCATTTGTCGAGGTGTGGGCCGTTGAAATCTCGACACGGATATACCTTCGGCTAGTAAACCGCCAGATATGTGTTCAGCGTGTCTGCAATACATTTATTAATTACAGCTACTACGTTGTTAAAGAGTGGACAATGTGTTACTCGGTCCGAAGTCTAAAGTTAGCCGTGCTATTCGGTCCGTCTTCTAATGCCATTTGCAAGTGACCTCTCAGCCTTGGAGTTTTCGGCGACAACAGAACCGAAGCCTTGAGTTGTCGTCCTGCCGCCGAACGAGTCAAATTTGAATATACTTGCCCAAGTGAAGTAATATTGTAAACTAATCTCTATGCTTACCGCAAAATGGACTCGAATCCCTGGTGGTCAAGTACAACGGGCCGCGCAGTTTGGACTGTGCAGCGGTGAACCCCATGGTCACACAATTCGATTCTGCCAGGTATCCGCAAGCGGTTAAATCATTTATATATAGCATAGTTGAATAAGTGTATTTCGCTTGAATTACCTGTGCAGTTGGTGGGAAAACAGGAGCCCTTCTGGAACACTGACCAACCGGCGGGACACGGGAAAGCAGTAAACTGGCACGCGTCTGGATCGGCCAACGATTTCAGACTCTCCAGGAAGAATTGCAGAGCCCGCAGATGATTGCACACGACGCTGGAGTTCATTGAACTTTCTAAAACATCAACAACGTTAATTTTGATTAGCATTAAAAAATGTTACCAAGTACCTGTGCACCGAATACCTACCGAACCGGCTTACTATTACCGAACCCCGTACTTGTTCGCAGCCGGGCTGATCCAATCCGCCGTTCGGGAAGTAATCCACGTCCCCTATCGGATGGAACAGACCGAAACCCTCGGACCACACCCTGGCGCCATCGGTGTGCACCACGTCTACAAAATCTGCATCGTCCGGTCCCAACGACGACAACGACGAAGACAGCATTTGCCGAAACAACGGCGAGGCTGGATCCAGACCTGAGACGACGATCAAAGACATCAGACCTTGTGGACTAGCAGACTTTTTATGGCAGTTGGGACTATGGTTAAAGTAGGTAGGAGTATCAAAATCAAATGTCAACAAAAGGCCAAGCTATAACTGTGGCTCTAAGACTCCGTCATGTCATTCCGTTCACGTTTAGTTACTTGAGGGCTCTCAACCGGAGTGGCAATTAGCCTTACATTGTTTGGGGGATTGAAGAAGCCCTACACTATAACACCGATGATAACTTGACAGGAGGATGTCCATAAGATTGAAAGGTAAATTTTATAGGTCGGCCAGCAATGTTATTTGGGCCGGAATGTTGGGCAGTAGATACGAAAACTGAACAGAGAATGAGTGTAGTGGAGATGATAATGTTAAGATGGATGAGTGGAGTGACTAGGGAAGATAGAATAAGAAATAAATACATAAGGGGTAGTCTAGGGGTTGTATCAGTTGTAGAGAAAATTAGAGAGAATAGGCTGAGATGGTTTGGTCATGTTATGAGAAGACAGATGATGAGACAGAGGCAGTGAGAGGTGTTATGAAGATAGATGAATGTAGAGGGAAAATAGGAAGACCAAAGAAAAGACAGCTAGGGTGTTTGACTAGGGTGGCCGACCCCATGTAGTTGGGAGTGTAAGGCTAAGAAGAAAAAGAAGGGGGTTCAGATGACTCGAGAGGGTCTAACCTCTTCCCCCATCCCCATCCTTAGGGAATTGCACTACTGCTTTCAACTCTTGACCCGGTACTAGACAGGATCTGCGGTTGTGTGGTTAGGTTATTACCTGTAATCCTTCCTATAGTGATACCGTTTTGTTTCAGAGCTTTGCCCGCAAAACCGGCCACGTGGGCTCCCAAGCTGAAACCGATGACGTGTATGTGTGCGGGGTCGCTGTCCATGTGCACCATGTCGGTTATGAGCAGCGCCAACTGTCGACCGATTAGCTGAGTGTTGGCTGCCGCCAAAGCGTAAGCCGGACCCACTGCGCCTTTTTCCCAGTCTACCAACACCACGTTGGAATCTTCCTACGACGAGCATTGGACAAAGTCAGTACAACGGTGATGATTTTTTAAAAAAGTTATTCTAATATAAAGGGTGCATCAAAAACAACGGCGGGGTTTCAGACGGCTGTAGGTTGTGAAGTATTGGACCTACAGCGCTGTGGTAGGACTTGAACGAAAGAGGAAGTTGTCGAGTTTCGAATGACTGCCACTAGATGTCTCTGAATTACGCTTCGCGAACTCGATCACTTTTCTCGTGAATGCTGGCGACACAACGGGAACGCGGGAGACCGTCCGGTGGCAGTCATTCGAAACTCGACAACTGCCTCTTTCGTTCAAGCCCTGCCAGAGCGCTGTAGGTCCAATGCTTCACGGCCGTTTGAAACCCCACCGTTCGTTTTTAAACACCCTGTACTCTGTACCAAGTCCAGTAGCGCGTTTCCCAAAAGCAACGCGACCTTGTCCCGGCCGCTGCCCTTGAATCCGTGCACGATGATTTTGGTGGGCGATTCTGGCTTGAAACTCGAGTTCATCAACGATGCATGGTCGTCGCCGTACGTGACCACCGTCAAGTCCTTGCGGTTAAGTCGGGTTATCATTAAGAATGTCGTGTTGACCGCCTCGGGGGGTTGCGGCGATTTCATGAGCGGCGAATGCGCCGAACGCGGCATGGGGAAGCATCCGACGTCGTCTTAAGTACCGGTAAAAAAAAAAAAAATTAAAAATTAACGTTCACACTTTATCGATTCGTATGCGTGTCGCGTGTCTACATGTTTACACGGGTCGAATAATAAGTTTTTTTTACAAACACTAAACCCGTTATTAATGGCTTTCTTGTGCCGTAGACTAATCGTGTACCTAAATGCGATTTTTGGCATTTCTGCGCCCAAAATATTCTTCCACAACAAAAACAACGTTATCATCAGGGACGGTCTCGGAAAAAAAATCACGGGGGGCTGTAGTCTTCAAAATTGCCGACTAGAATTTGAAATTCTAAAATTTTGTTGACTATTTAATTATTTTTAGTTACGTACTATAAATTTATAATTTCTTTATCGCCTTGTTTCAATTAAATTTAAAGTTAAAACTTAGCAATACTTAACTTATTATTTTTAATTTATATCAGAATAGGATAAAGTTAACAACCATATGCATCACTTATTATTTGTTATAAAATGAGTTACAGTATTTAAAAACTATTATAATAAGTGCCTCAATTCATTTTTTTTCCCACGAAATAATATTTATTTTTCTATACATTTTTTCCGATAAAATAATTTTAACGAGAAGTCTGACTGAGTCGTTGGATTAGAATCCATTCTTTTTGGTATCGACCGTTTACGATGATGTTTGTTAAAATCTGCTACTGGATCTAAATCTATTTTTTTTTTTTTTTTTGGAAAATATTAGAGCTGCGTCTATAATGGTGTCCAGTCCATCAAAATCTTTGTTTATATTTTCAAGCGATTTAATTGTACCCTCTATTAAATAAATTACATCAATTATATTCGATAATTCCTTTGCTTCCAACTCCCAACTGTGAGTGCTTTGAGTTTATGTAATACATTTTTTCATAAACATTATTGAAACAATAAAATCAAATGTTGTTTTTTTTTTTCAAACAGAGCTAATGATTGATTTTTAGTATTTCTATCATTCAAATTTAACACCCCCCCCCCCGTCGGTTCGTCCCTGGTTATCATAGTAATAAACTAATGTTGTCTTACCATAGCATATCTGCTTGGACGTCCTCGATTTCCTTCTCTCCTGCCGCCTGGCCAAGTGGTCCCTGACCAATTGCATTGCACGTTTGCCCAACACGTTCGACGGCCAAAACTGATAGTTGCCGACTAGAATATTATTATTTTACAACGACATCGTTCTTAAACGGTCTTAATTATGTACTGCACATGTGTATTACAATGTCTGGTAGGTTAATATTATTACCTTCTGAATCCGCATTAGACGAGCCCACGCGGCCCAGAACGAAACAAACGGCTAAGGCGACTAAAGTGATGGCGTTTTTATTTGGTGTCCTCATGGTGCTGTACGCGGTTGTATTGGGATGCTGGGCTGTGTTAGCTAAGACCAGAATCTCACATGACTGCTTAAAAAATAAAATAAAACAACACTGATAGAACTATAACGTTTAAGACCAAAGAGCACTCGGACATTATATAATACACGCTGCAGTGTCAAGCGTGTAAGCCACTATATTATTGTTCCTAGTTATTATATATGTTTTATTTTTTTTTACTTTCACTCCGAACGTTTGAAGGTAAACGTAAACACCACCACACCGAAGAGATTGAAACGCAGAATTTACATGCTGTCATTTTATTCGTAATTTATTATGCATATCAGAAATTTTAGTTTAGTGGCATGGCACAAGCGTGAATAAATACACACACACACACACACACACACGGATTGGATAGGTATTGTTCTCATTAGTATTGTCATGTTTTGCTTAAACACTTTCTAAATATTTGATGTGTAAAATTAGTGTAATCAATTAATTCACATATAAGTAGAGGTACGTCATTATCGTGCGGATGAGCCAAAAATGCAGCTATACACAAAACGGACGAGCTGTCATAGTAATAATTTATATTTTATTATTATAATATTATTACCTTACCTAAATCTGGATTACCTGTTGAAAAATTGGTCATTCGCAGGCGAGTCTTGTAAAGTACACATGATGTAAAAATACCACACACACACACACAATTTATAATTTTTAATTTTAATAGTAAGACAACTGTTGTATATTAAGTCCACTGTGAAACATCAGTGATGCACAGCAATTAACCGTTTAACAGCTGGGACGCCGGATAAATGGTTTTGTTGAAATGATTTTTAGCTGACAGTGATTGCAATGTTATGTGAACGGAGCGACCACTTCCTACTACTTATGAGAAGAATATGGGGGAAGTTGAAACCCGCCTTATACTAAGTAAACTTTGCTCTACATAAATTACATAACACAACGGTAAATTGTTCACAAACAGAGAATTTTATAAGAAGAGTGCAAGTAGTCAATCTTTACCCTACAACATCCAAAAATATGGCCCGATACCGCCCCGGGGAATATTTGTGGACACTTTCATTCTTGTCTTGTGATTTTGATTAAAATTAAATGTAGTCGCTAAATTTTTGGAGTTTTGGGGTTGTTCAAAAATGTTTTTATTCGGTCCTCGAAACAATTAGTGAAACAACTAACAAACTTTTACATAATAGATTATGTAAAGTGTTGGTATAGCTCTAAGGAAAGAATGTATACAGTATTGATGAGGAATGTTAGAGTTAGGCAATGTATTGATGGTACAATAACCTATGACGGCATGACGTATGACGGTTTGTTTTGGCAAAATAAAAAAAACAAAGCTTTGATAATTTTTTAAAATTTAATTCAACAAACACAGTGGCCAAATTTATACAAATTTTTTTTAGGTTTATGAAATTTATTCGGTATAGCTACAGGGATGAATGAGAAATTTTACCATACTGTCTTGCTTTGTCATATTTTATTCTTGAATTTCCTATCACAGTCCCTCTCCCGGTCTATATGACATAAACTGGATATGGTAAAATGTATAAAAAAAAAATTGTACCATTATTGACTTATATGACACAACAAAATGTCAACTTTATTGTGCTATTACTATATAAAAGTACATATTATTTGAAATAGTAAATAATCACTGATTTAGCCTTCGCTGTACTTAGGTAAGCTACACATCAGCTATACCTACATAAGCAACTGAGTGAACTGTGTATAAAGATTGTAATTATACCACCATGTTGTGTATTGGTAAACATAGTACAATCTCTTTTTAGTTACGATAATTATACTTAAGTATGCATAATAATTATGGTACGCAGCATGTTTTACTAAAATTTAAATTATTTACATTTGGTGTGTCTATTTTTATGAATGAACCGACATAATAATCTTTCAGGTTGGTTACTTGTTACTTATTAATTTTAACTTCGACGTTCTCTTTATGTTTGACTAACGTGCTTCATTATTTTTTGACATATTTGTAATTTTTTTTTAGCAGTAAACCACTTTCAACACTTACTATGTTGAATTTGTGTATACTAATTGATTGTGGTGAAATCACTTTCAGCATTAATAACTACCTTGACCCCACTTTGCTAAATTTCTTAATATTCTTGATGCGAGTGTTAATACTGTGCTGGTTTTTGTTTTTGTAATTAAGATCTGTTAATATTCATTATATTGTAAAATATTGTTTTTTTTCCCAATATTATAAATATGGTTACAACATGTAGAATTATTATCTACTTTCAATCTGCCATAGCTAATCTTGCAATTTATCATACAGTGTCATAATATGAATCCAAGTGGAATTGTCCAATAGGAAAATTAAATTAAATTCAAAATTTAATCGATTATTTGCCATATCGTAAGTTTTTTTTTTGTTGACTCATTCGAGATATAAAATGTTATTGTTGTCAGTTTTCAGATTATACTTATTAATAACCATATTAATAATTTATTGTAATATTGTTGCGACTTGTGTGTACTGTGCTTAATTCGAAAATCATAGTAAAATAATATCTATTCTATATACAATCACATTTAGTGAAAAAAACAATTTTGCTACCTCTAAATAATCGATTTCCTTTTTTTTATGTGGAAATCAGTGTGTCAGACTGTCAGTCTCACATTATTAGTAAAAAAAAGTAGTAATCAAATTGTGGTAAAATAATTGTAAGTATCCCATTTGTCACAAATTAACGTTTACTGATTGCTAGAGTTATACTTGGTAAAAAATTGGGTATATCTTGATAATTTTGAAAGCTGTTACACCTATAACAAGTGTACAGTTTATCTTGTATTTTAAAAGATTAGCACCTATTATTATTATAGGACACATAAAAAAGTTGTAAATCAAAACCAAAATTGCCAAGCCTACTTTGGGTTAAAAAAAAACCCATATTTCTATGTCCTAATGCGAATTCCATTGTTTAGCAAAAAAATATTATAATTCTTTATTGAAATCTACAGGAAATCGGTATTGTTGAAATAATTTTACAAGTGTCTTTAATGATAAAAACTATCATTTTTTTTTCCAAAGATTTTTCAACAAATTTTTTTCTTTGTTCGAGCATCGTCTGTCAGATCTCAACTGAGGTTTTGCTAAAAAATATATAATTATATTCTTCAATACTCGGTTACTTAATTAAATATTTCAATTGTGTACTAACTATATGTATGTATATAATATATATATATATATATATATATATATACATATATGTGCATATATTATAACCGTTAGCGTGCGTGCTTATTTTTCTATAGGTAATAATTATTTACTCGTTGAATATTATCATAATCATCACAAAACAGGTGTGTATATTTGTAAATAGAAAGATGACACAAGTGCTAGCTGACGGCATTATAGTGGAAAACCGTTCAAACTTTAAGTCGGCACTCGAAACAGTCACACAAGGTAAGTAAACCCATAAGCTATTTCAATAGGTGTAGTTATTCGCAAATCTTATTCATATTATTATTATAGTTGTACTCGTTATTCTTTAATTAATAATATTACCGAGTCGTCGCCTGCGCTTATAAGAGTATCACAATTTTATAATAATAATAAATTAATAGCTGTTAATTAATAACTGTTATTATCAGTTGTTATCGTTATCACAGTAGATACATAGATATTGATAACAATAATAATATTATATGGAACGGCTTTCAAGGTTATGTTTAAACAGTTGAAAAACAGATATCAAGCTCGAATGGCATAAATATTATTATTATAAAAGCTGAGCCATAATCAAATTATTATTTTTTACATTTTTTCCTAATTAAAATCCGAATATTAATTTGCTAGTGTAAGAATAAAAATGATTTTCAGGCATCTGAGATATTTTCTTGGTCATCATCAATTGGAAAAATAATGGCCGATCAGAGTTCAGCTGTACTAGAAGTGTCGGTTGAGGAAAAAGGCGTATCTCTAATGTCTCCGACCGCTCTGAACGACTTGCCAATAGTATGTTTTATTAATCGTCTCCAAGTTTAATAGATTTCATTTAAATAAATTTGCAAATTACTTAGTTTTCTTTTTTCATTTTTAGTCAGCGCCGTTTCCGTCGCACGACATGCATCCAAAGTTGAATTTTCAGCAAGACATTCAAGTACAAGTGGAAAACCCTCAGAAAATAATCGAACCCCTAGAAACGTACATTACCTATCGAGTGACTACCAAAGTAAATTGTCGGATTTTCGATTACGTCAATGCAAAAGTATTATGACCTACTTACTGTGTCTTAGGTGGACCGCCCTGATTTCAAAGATAAAGAATACGTTATTCGTCGGCGGTACAACGATTTTGTGTGGTTAAGACAAAACGTTGCGGCGGAATATCCCGAACGTATAGTGCCGGTAATTGTTTATTATTGTTATTATTGTTACCTACATCAATTATTAGAAAATGTTGTTTTGTTCAAAAACATATTTTTACTTACAGCCTTTGCCAGCTAAACATTCTATTCTCGGCCAACTAGACAGGTATTCAAAAGAGTTTGTCTCGTGTCGTATGAAACTGTTGGAACGTTTCCTCTCACGGTTAGTGTGCCATCCTGTACTATCGGAAAACTGTCATCTTCGAGTGTTTCTAACAGCCAACGCTACAGTATGCAAACATTTTTATTACTATACTTGGCCAACATCAAATTGTGTGTTGATATATAATATATTTTATCAGTCCTGTGTACATAAATATACATTTTTTCTCACAGGAGTTTGCTACCTACAAAAAACGCGGTACGGGTTTGCTGAGACGCATGTCTAATAGTTTGAACACAATGGCCGGATCGTATAACTCTAGACAGGTTGATTTTGAGTTTGATCCAATTAGACATCATCTGCAAGGTTTATCTGAAAAATTGACCATGCTAGAAAAAGTAGCTCAGCGAATTCACAAAGAGAGAAAAGGTATTTATAGCGTTAGACGATATTGACAAGTTTTCTTATGTTGATATGTTTTCTCTAGAATTGTGCGTGGAGTCGCATCAGTTGGGGGCAGCATTTATTGAATGGTCTTCTAATGAACAGTCAGTGTCGGTTGCTCTGTCTCGTATCGGCCATACCATCACCGCCAACAGTTCCGCGTTGCGACTTAATTTGCTGTCCAATTTTCACAGCGACTGGTCACAAGTAATACGCTCGTTGTCTACTGTGAACAATAACGATGATGATTATTTAATACTTACACACGTTTTTTTCGGTGTTTTTCTAGCCACTCAAAGACTACGTGAACTACATTGAATGTGTTCGGGAAACGCTCAGCAGGAGAGACGCTTTGCAATCGCAATACGAACAGTCTGTCACGGAATTGGAGAGGAAAAAGGCTGACAAAGACAAGGTGGGTAATAACCTAATTATGATTGTCGCAACGTGTTACTGAAATTGGCCGTGTTTAAATAACAATACACACAGGTTGCTAACGACGAAAGACCGCTCATGTCGTTTTGGTCGTCGAAATCCGAAACCGACAAAGAAGAAAGAATCGAGAAGATCACGCAGATCATTCCGAAACTGGTGTCCGTCACCGAGGCCAATCAGGAACGTTTGGATTCTTGTAGCGATATTTTCAAAGACGAATACGAACTGTGGAAATGTCAGAAAAAGGCAGATTTCAAAAACATGCTGACCGCTTTGGCGGAAAGCCATATACAGTATTATCAACATGTTAAGTGTCGTTCCGAAATAAACAATATTATATTTTATTAACAATAACCGGATACTATTTTTTTTTTTTTTTACAGTGTGCCACGTCATGGGATTTGGTGTTTAAGCGCATGACAACAGAGTAAAAAAAAAAACGAATCGAGCTTATTTATTTTAAAAAACATCTACATAAAACTTAGACAAGGTATATATTTTCATACACACTGTGATAACGTCGATTCGATAATTTTCCAAAAAAAAAAAAAGAAAACCATATTCGTCTTTATTATTTAAAACATATCCTTTACAAGTCTGGCAGTTATTTATATTTATGTAGCCATTATATATAATTGTTGTTTTATATTACCACCTTGTTTTATTTTGTCAACATAATCATTCCATTTTTTTTTTTTTTTTGTTTAAGTTAAGAAAACTTTTTTTTTTTTATTGTTCATAAATCACCAAAACGTAGTCATTAAGTATTATACATTTGTTTTATTTGAAATCAAAAAAACACTTATATTTTCTTATTAAAATTTTATATTTGCATTGTATTATAACCAGTGCGTATTGAGTGCGTGTTTCATAACAAATGATGTAATTGCTGGTTAACGGTCGATGTAAGGTAGATACTTAACTTAACTAACTTAATATCTAAAAAAATAAAAGTAAAAAAACAGGCGTCTCGAATAGTAAAAAAATGAACACTATAGGAATTTGACAAAAAATATTTGTCAATTATCAAAACTTAATTACAAATAACATTTTTGGTTTAAACCGAATGAGGATTAAAATGTGTTTTTTTTATGTATGAGTAATTAAATAAAAAAAAAAATCACAGTAATTTATTCGACGGGGAAAGACAGACATTTTGCAAAAAAAATAAATAAAATGACATAAATATCGTCCCCAGAGTACGAAAATAAAATTCATTATTTTGAATATAAATAAATATAAAATAAAAATGTAGTAAACCGTAGAGCGGCGCGAGGGTACCGATGATGAGTATTTTAGTAAACAAAAAAAAAAAAACGTTATCGGTCGGTCGGCGTAGAAGCGGAAAACAAAATATCTTTCGAACAATGACCGAACGATGTAATGCTCGACATATCTTTAATGCTCGTAGTCATAGTCTGGTAGCCCGTGTCCGAACTGTTTTCCATCATTAAACTACTTTTGTTGGTTCGTCGTCGTTTTGGCATCGATAACGTAGATACGGGCGTCATAAAAATAAAATCACCACCTTCAGGAAAAATCAAAAAACAAAACCATGAGTGTAACATTATTTTTAAGGGGCATTTATAAATTAAATTGTCGGCTAACTTACTTCTGTTCTTGGGCGGAGTGTTTTCTTTGTCATTGTTTATCACTATTGGTGAAACGTCAATGGGTACATGACAGTCCAATGGCAATTCTTGGACACCAAGATGATTACCGATTACTGGACCTCTGGTCGATTCGGTCGAGTTGACAAAACCACCGTTGGTCAACGGGCTATTTTGTTGATGTCTACGTCTGAAAGTGTAATGTAATGTTTTCAACTAAGGCCACACACGTTAACAGTAATTTAAATAATGTGATGTAAATACATTTGAACCGGAGAAATGGGGTCATCGTTGTCGTTCATGAAAAATAGTTTACGACGCAAGGTCGAAGTGTCTTTGTTGGGACTCGCATCGAGATCTTTGTTTTGAGTCTGCACATAAATAATTTTTTCTAAAATAACTCAACACATTTAAAAAATGTTAGGAATGTAATTTTTACCGAATTTAAAAAGTATGGCTTAAGTATTTCTTCAATGTGATCCGGTAAAACCGATGGAAAACTGAGATCAGTTTGAGTGGATACTAAAACAGTTTAAAATTAAATTGAATAATGTTCATTACTAGCACGGTATAGTATTTAAATTACTTTCACGAGAGTACGTTTTTTGTTTAACTTGTTTCACCGAAATAGGCGTAGACGATGTACTCGGACATTTGGCCTCCCAGTTGACGACTTGGTTGTTCCACGGACTAGGAATTTTGTGTTTCATGTAAAAATACCTGGGAAATAAAAAAATGATAACAATAAGTGTTGTAAATTTTACAAGCTCAAAGTAAGAAATGATCAGCGAGTACTTGTCTATAGTTTCTTGTAATTTAGATTCAGTCTCATCGTCTACATGCTCCTCGACCATACATTCGTCTTCTATGTGAACCGGATTCAATTTGGATACGTCGTCGATATTCCATCTGAATTCGTTCTCTTGCCCGGGACTGACGGCCTTGGCGAACACGTTCGGACTTATTGTGGTCTCGCCGAGCCGTTGAATTAGATTTTCATTGAACGGATTGAACACCTTTTGCTTGTGGCCGTTGTTGGTCTCGTACTTGGAACGCAACAGTTCGGTGGACATGGACCAGTGACGGCTAGGTTTACGCGGAGTCGGCGTACGGTTCAGGTGCACGATCTTTCTGATGGACGTTTCGTTTTTGTCCGAATTGTACGACACGTCCATGTATTCTACTTCTTCGCAGATAGCCATAATATTGAGCACAATATTATTCGGTATTGTAATCAAAACGGTTGAGATAAACTATAACGACTATGTCAGTCTTATTATGCCAGAGAAAAAATATTTCTCGAAATTTCTTTTTTTCTATCGATTATTATAATCTAATTATTATACATTGAAAGACGATAACTTAGGTACTTACAATTTTTAACTTTAAGGTGAACACAAAACGGCCTACAAACTACAAACTATACAAAGGGTGGTAAGGAGACGGGAATTGTTAGGTTTTTTTTTTTTTCAAATATAATGGCCTTTTTTTAACGGTTGTCCAAGGACGTTGTACGTTGATAAGTTATCAACATACAACGTCCTTGAACGTTATCAACGATTCCCAAGGAGCTTAGGTTACGCGCCGGTTTTGTATGCTCTTTGGCGCGGACGACTGCCCCCCCCCCCCGCCCGTCCGACGGTACTCGCTATCTCACACGGACCGCAGCCCAGTTGCTGTATCGTCATTTTATAGGTTAGCCCGTTCTGGCCACTATACTCGTAGTGGTTGTTGTTTCTGTTTGTTTCGGGATAACGTCCTAGGAAGCGAAAAAAAAAATGGTGAGTGTTCCTTCGGGATTTTCATCCGAGTTTACCCGGTCGATCCCTCACGGGTTTCCGGTCGCGACGCCGCGAACGCCCGAAGGGACGTCCCGCGGACGTTGATTGATAAAATTTTATTCACGTATGTTATGTTTATTTATGTTGTTCCCAGACGAAAGGTACGTCGAGTTTTGGTAAACGCCACAATAAGACGCACACTCTGTGTCGTCGGTGCGGCCGTTCGTCTTACCACATCCAAAAGTCCAAGTGCGCACAGTGCGGATACCCCAGCAAGAAATTGCGTCATTGTAAGTAGTGCCATTAATGTCTAAACCAAGACTGGACGTTTGTGTTCTAGAATCCTTGTCGATACTAATTTTGTTGCTTTGCTCTAATCTATTTCAGACAACTGGAGTGTCAAGGCTCAACGCAGGAAGACCACCGGAACCGGTCGTCTGAGGCACTTGAAGATTGTTCGTCGTAAATTCAGGTGAGCCGACATGTCACTTTTTTTACCGTCTTCTTGGTGGACGTTATGGATGTAGCGAGTCGTACACGTCGTACGCTTTGTGTATTTGTAAAATCGATGGTTTTTATGCGTACGACTCGTATGGACTCGCACGTTTTATCAATAGGGCTTGAAAAACGTTTGTTAAATGTGTTTTGTACAACAGTTCATCAGTGGGCTCTCTCTTGTCTTCGCTATGAATTTGATTTGCGTATTAATGTTGTCCATAACCTGAAATATCACGTATTGGTGTTTTTAAATTGCTACATACGCGTATTACTTATCGGCTCTGAATAATCTGTATACAAAATGTATTTATTACGACTTTTTGCATCGAGATTTGCCGGCTACCATATTTTTTTAGCCAAACAATCATAAATGTCACTAAAACTGTGTATGGCCGCCTCATTTAAGAACGGATACAAGTGTAGATAGCACTAAATTCGATGATGGTCTCTTTTGTCATGTGATAGTTTTTTTATTTTATGTGTTAACAAAATATTATGTTGTGATGATGAAAAAAATTAATATACGCTAATACGACCACTTTTTAAAATGGGTACTCCTTGCCCTCTCTGAACATAATATTTTATCGTTGAAACTAATTGTCCAATGGCCACGAGGAAACTTTCTTTTTACTTATCTGTGTATTTTTTTTTTAACAACTGTTATTTCTTAGTTTAGAATCGAAAGTTTTAAAGCCGATTTAACTAGATAACATTCAGATATTTGATTAGGTATAATAAATTTAAAAAAAAATTTGTGCAATGATGTTAAAAAAAAAAATTAATATACGCTAATACGACTGAATTCAAAATGGGTAGTACTTGCCCTCTCTGAGCATCAAATTTTAATTTCATAAAGTGTAATTATGTCTATATATTTGTGTACTATGTTAATATATATATAAACTATAAAATATATTCAGCATTCAGATTTATAGCTGATATTAAAAAATATTATGTTCTTTTAAAAGTTGTGCGATGATGTTAAAAAAAAATTAATATACGCTAATACGACTGAATTCAAAATGGGTAGCACTTGCCCTCTCTGAGCATCAACTATTAATATTAAAAATTGATTATAAAAAACATAATGTTGGACATTTTATTATACCGAAAAAAACCACAACCAAATGTGTTATACATTTTATAATTTGTTTTGTTTGTTTTTCAGGAACGGTTTCCGCGAAGGCACCCAAGCTAAACCCAGAAATAGGCAGAGTTAATCATGTTAACTGTTTTGTAAAACAACCAATAAAAAATAAAAAACAAACGTTTGTAAAAGTTGTTTTATTTATTTGATTTTCACACTCTATTAGTTTTTCTTAAGAAATGATAAATGATAAATATGATGTTCCGTAGTAAACGGGTTAAACGATACGGACCGCAGTTATTGTAACGTTAATCCGATTTGTGTTGTGTTCTCGCAAGTTGGTGGAGGAAAAGGATGAGGTCGTTGTGAACAACATTTTTTTTTTTTTTTACATATTACACTTTATATTACTTTTAAATAAATAAGACATTTTATATATTTTGTTTTTTCAACAGTTGGACCAACAATATTATTTTGCTTTGGCTCTCTTCTAATAACACAAATTTACATTTAACGCACAAAGCGACAGGCGATATCCGAAATGTGGCTGTGTATGTAAAACATGCATGTACAACGTGAATGGATTCCTGCATAATATAATATAATATGTATGTACACACACACTATATAGTTTATACAACACACATTGGAGGGGGGGGGGTTTAGTAAAATTATTTTTTTTTTTTACCGATATTCTTAGGAACTAAAATTATTTTTACTTTTCGCTACACGGTTTTACTAGTATAATCATATGTATATCATATATTGTATTAATATGTACATAACTTGATAAATAAAAACATAATAATAGTATCGGTTGACCATCGTTTGTATAGTCGGTTAAACGTGGCCGGTTCAGATCATCTGATGTCTTCTGGTTCTTGTTGTCGGTCTTGATCTTTGGAATTTAAGTCTTCTTCTTCTTCTTGGTCTACTTGTTCTTCGATGGACGGTCTGTCGTCAGTCATTGCCGGTATCATTCTGGTCTGAACCATGGCCGGCTGGTGGCGGTTGTGTGGTTGCTGCTGTTGTTCATAGACCAAAGGGATGTAGTTCTTGGGCTGGTCGTCCACGTTCACCACTTGTTCGGACGTTTGGTTGTCGTTGAACAGAAATCTAGAAAACAAAGACATAACACGGTGGTATGAGATAGAGATGATTTGTTCCAGTTCATAGTATTTCAGGACTAGGTCGTGTTATTACATAAACAGTTTAGGCCAAAGGGAAATCGCCAAATTGTATATAAATAAAGACTCTAAAACGAGAAGTCGCAATATTTTTACATTTATTAAAATTATAGAGTGGAATCCCCTCATACGGATACCTCCGCTCAAATAATTTTACATCAGTGCACTTTGTATTGCCTACGCTTGACTCCTTTAAATGGCGCACATCGTTTGACAGTCTACGGTCGGAGAAGATGTTGTAAGACGATTGTGATTTAACGTTTATTATCCCCACAAAGCGTGTACATGTGTAAATAATTAATATATATTATCGAAAATAAACGTTAAGCATTTTGTTCTCTCCAAAAACCTTATTTTCACATTGTTATTTGTACTTAAGATAATATACCTGGTACTTAAATAATAACTGTCGTTTTAAAAAATAAATCATTAAGGTTAACGTTATTTTGTACTGGAAAAGTAACCTGTCGTCGACTTTTAGGTCATTTACTTATTTCATCTTAAAAATAACTTGTTAATTTAAAGTAACTTTATATTGTTAATGTTCAACTTGGTAACGGTTTTTAAACTTGAGAACCGCCGTTAGACATCAGGTACTATAATCGCACAAAAACTTGGCGCCATGTTAGGTTAGGTTAGGTTAATAAACTATATCTATACGTTGTTATTTTTAGTTGTGTATAGATATAGTTTATTATGATTACAGCAGGTTTAATTTATTATTAAAACATGGCCGCCAACGTTACAGCGAATAACACAACAAACGCATTTATAACCACTCTGTATACACATACCTCGGGAAGTATTTTAGGGCGCGCTGAGTCCGCTCTTTGGCGGGCCACATGAACGGCGAAAAGGCCATGCGGGCGTACCGCTCGGCGTGTTCGATCATGTTCATCAGCTTTTGCGGCAACAGGTGTACGATGAACGACCGTTCGGCGGTGGTCGTGGCGGCGGTGGCGGTGGCGTTGGATTGCTGTGCCATCGCGGACGCCGCTGTCCCGTTGTCCGGCATTCGGTACATGCGGAACCGGCTCTTGGGCCGCAACACGGGCTCGCGGATCTCGTCGGCCGCCGTACCGTTGTGGCCGCCCCCCCTTGGCGTCGCCTGGTCATACGGGAATTCGTCCTCGGTCGTGGCGTTATTGGCGGCGGCCGACGCACCGTTGCCGCCGGTAAACCCGCGGCCGGAATGTTCCCGCCTGTCGGCCGGCACGGACGGGTCCAGGCTGTTGCCCGTCGGTTCCGTCTCGACGTCCAACACGGGCATCCACGGCACGTTCATGTACTCTTTGATGCCCACGCCCAGCGTGGCGCTCAGTTGGTGTCCGGCCGCGTCCACCGCGGCCGCAACGGCCGAACCGTCGATCAGCGAATCGTTGATGTGCTGCTGACCGAACTCGGGTTGGCCGTTACCGTGGTCCGTTTTGTCTTTGATGCCGTCCCCTTTGTCCTGGTCAACACAAACAGACAAGTCGTTATAGTGATGCGGCCTGCCGGCCACTACCAGGCAGTGATATTACTATTAGGACAACGCGGATTATGGAGTTGAATTATCAGAGATAGTGGATTAGTGATAAGAGATAAGATATTAGAGACACTAGATTGCAGGGCATATTATATTGATGTATCTGCATGAAGTGTAATGTACTTTCTTTTTTTATTTAATTATGCATATAATCTTAAGTATTTGTTTGACCTTTGAAACTTTGTTATTGGTGACTTTTAGGCCTCTAAGTATAAACGCGTTAAGTTCATTTAATTTTGTACTATTCGTGTGTTTTTATTTTTGGCGCAAACTTCTCCCCGAAATCTACCAAAGTGCATAAAAATATTTTTTTTAATCATACCTGTATTTATGAATAAATTATTTGACAATAACTTAGAATAACTACAAATGGATGAATCAAATGTTGGTTATTTTGACACGGTGAGATATTGTCAAAAGAATACTAATAACACGATGAAACTGAAGCGCGTTCATAACGAATCATTCATTTATCACCAGATAGCATCAGAAGAAGAAGTATAAAAACTGGTGCAATACCAGTTTGGACACCCGGTAATATTGCTCTAGGCCGTATAATGACTATAACATGTTAATAATGGGCGCGAGCACCATACATAATAACATGTTTACATAATAAATAATCTGAATTCACAACATAATGCACCCCGAGGGAAGGGCACGGTGCACTTAAGGACACCTAGTTAGGATGCTAGCCGTTTGCTCTCTTGGGCAGCAAATCTTAATATGGGCTATGCTCAACTACAACTACTTACGTTCGTCTGTAAGCTCAGCTCTGGCAGGTTGCAGTCGCCTGGAAACAGAGGCAACACGACCGGCACATCGGATTCCAAGACCAGACCTCGTTTGCAAACCGATTGGCTGATGCCGTAACTGTCGGTCAGAATGAACTTGTCGATGCTCCATTTCTCCAATCCGTTGGACAGCCATCCCTTGTACGCGGTGTAAGTGATTTGCACCCTGTCGAAGTCTTGCAGAGCCGGATGCGGCACTATGATCCTCTTGAGAGTATCGCCCAACAACAACTTGGCGTCGTCTTTGCTGGAATTTCAGAGAAAACACACGTTTAAGGTCGATTGGATCTCAAACTTCCCCTTCTGACTCCATCCCGTGTCTGAATCTTCATTTCCTGGCACTGTCACGCTCAAAAAGCTCATAGTCTCAATTGGCCTTACACTGTTCCTGCTAAATCTCACTGTACCGGTTGCCAACCAAAAGCGGTATACTTACTGAGTGATGGTGAACGTCTCGTTGATGTCGAGTTGACCGAAGAGTACGATTTGGATCCTGCCATAACTGACCACTGGCAGAGCACTAGGCGAGTTGTAGACTTTGGCGATGTACTGGTGCGCTAAAGGGTCGAACAAAAAGCATACTTTACCACTAGATGAAGATTTCTTTGAAAATCAAAACCACTGTTGGCAAGCTATACAGCTCCCTCAGGACTAATATTGACACTAGATGATGATGTAGGGATAGAGGTCAGACAATATTCGGTTAAATCTGTTGACTGTTGTATGTGTTATACAATAATACACACACGCGAGTCTTCAAAAGTAATTACAAACATTTGTACACATTATGAATAATAGTTGTCGAAGCTTGACAATGATAATAATAATTGCAGACCGTTTTGTGTTACTTCCGTTGCGCTATTATGCGGTTAACAAACGCACATAATATGCAAAAATACACTAGGTAGAACGTCGTCATACGTTGTTGTACTTGCTGTGTAATGTTGTTGTTGTTTACACAGGAATATTACAATAAAAATTAGCTTTATTCACCGTGTTCCGGGTCAGAAGTTGTGGCTTGTAATTTTTACATATTTTTTGTTAAAAAATAACACAACAAAATGCAATGTACGCTGGAAAATTATTCCAAATCAACTGTTGAATGTATGTAGCACATAACTGTCAATTAGTAAGCCAATCGACGTCTAGGATGTAATGCACGATCACAATGATTATTATTCTGCACGTGACAGCCAACACACATTGTGGATATTAATCACACTGCACTCGGTCTCGGGTTGATAAATGTTTGGAAGAGGATCAAGGATCTTGCAAACATTATGACAAAGGTCAGTTTGGCCAGTGTTTTGTCAATTGGTGCAAGTAATTGCAAATTATGAAGGGTGTACGTGTGCCGGAAACGACAAGATGACAATATAGTGTAAGAAGTACAAGAATAACAGCTATGTTTCTAACGGATATTTTCACTGTATTGTGTATTTGACTACCGTGTCGAAACAACGTTATGAAACGCGCCTGTGTATGTATAATTATAATAATACACCGCCGTGTGTTACTACATAATATGTGATCTATTATGAGCAAACAGTCAGGATGATTGATCGGTCGAGTCCTGTGTAGGATCCTTGACCTTAGGTGCACATATTACTACCTATCGTGTTTCTGTCATCGCCATAATAAAATATCGTTATGACACCTCGACATTATACAAATTGTTGCCGTCACACGAGTGGCCCACTTACTTACTTACTTACTTACTTAAACACCACCACCAAGACAGACGGCAGAGTCCAACGACTCGGTCTCGGTTAACGACCCTCGTCCATAATAGTATTTTTTTGGTACACAATTTATTTTAATATCACCGTGCGTGTCGTAACCAGGTGTAACACGTGTGTGCAAGTATAACATAAAAAGATATGTGCTTACCGCAAAACGGTTCCTCGTCCCTGGTGAGCAGGTACAGCTTGCCTCGACCAGGGGACTTGTCCGAGTAGTAGCCCATCGTGCCGCACTTGGTCTTGTCCTTGCACGGGAAGCACTCGCCATCCAGGAACTTCTCGTACGACTCGCAGGGAACGGCCGGGAACGCGCAGCCCGTGGTCACGCTGTCCGTGAAGAACTTGTAAGCCCTCCGGTGGTTGCACAGACTCCTGCCGTACACTTCGGGAGCAGCTGTGTACAACATAACAGCAGTAATTAGGTTAGTCGTTGGGTGTGACCAGATTTTGACACACCCGGGGGGCAAGGTGCGGCCAAAATCTCCAGCACTCTGGCCATAAGTCGGGAGGGAACAGCAGCGACTAGGATTTATTTATTATTCGTTTGGGAATGCCATAGCATTGAGGATTGTCCACTGGGACACAGCTGCATTAAGCACATTGACAATCCCAATATGTAATATATTTATGTCGATGTAGGATTATACGTTTATCCTACAACTTGACTTGACCCGACGGACATTATTTAATTGTGATTCTCGGCGAGCGTATAAAAATACAGTTAGATTCATTTTTACATTGCAGAAACTCGTCGGTAAACCTAGCCCAACTTGTGCTGTCCATTATTGGTTGTAACCAGGAAGTAGTTAAGAACTAGTATCGTCTCTAGAAACTAGTTTGGTTGACACACGTGGGGCAACGCTAAACGGTCCTAAAAGCTTGTATACACTTGCCGAAGGAACAAGTATGTAAAGCAGTTTCAAATAGGATTACACAAGCAACACAGGTCAAACGGTATTGTTGAACAATAGCGCAGTTTAATAACGATATGGAAATCATTAGAAAGAGACCGTCGCAAAGACAAGACGGATGGGTTTTCTAGTTTTAGGAGCAACATTGGAAAGAGGATAGCGAGGTCTTGGCGAACACCGTTGTAAAAGTGGTTTGAGTTGGGCATTTCTAGAAGACCTGTTGCCTGTTGTACCGATAACGGTGCTACTGCCTAAAGGCGATGACGGTCAATCGGTGGACCATGTCATCTGGATGGAGTAACGAATTTGGGGGGTTTTCTTAAGTGAAAGGATTGTGGATAGGCCGGATTAACGGTATATTTGATTAACCTACGGGATACCGGTTGCCACTGTGCAGTGTGTGGTGTGGTAGGCTGGCGTAGGCGTGTCAAGAAGAAAATAGTTAAGAATGACCCCAGCACTACCTAAACGGACGGACCAAATACATACAAATTACTATATTATTTATTGTAGTAACCTTGCATCTCCGAATGTACAGTTGGTCGTGTAACTTTCATTTTTTAAACACAATCCGTTAGAGTAGGTTTGGACTACAATTATAATATTATTATCTACTTTTTGGCCCAGCGATGGTACGGTCCGATTAACGGGTCAACGGTTACAAGAAGAAGAAATTCGGGTTTCCGGTAGGTATATTATTTAAACTAAACGTTTTTCGCTGCATTTACACCGCAATTATAATTGTTTTAATGACTTTTTTCACACATTATGCTACATTGCTCATTCGGCGAACCGGTTCAATGTCAACCCCCGACTAATTCGGTCAGCGCAAAAATTGTATTTTGTTAATGTATTTATTTAGGTATGTGTGTCGCGTTGAATAAGTCCACCGAAATCTGAAAACACTACCGACACCACCGTGTATTTGTTTTTTCACTGGAAGCGGATATAATTTTTCCCATCGTCGTACATGACATTTATGTTTTTTAAATGCAACCCAATCAACGATAAAAAAACAAGAGGCCTAGTGCGCTAAAAACAGTGTGTTTGACGGTTGAGTAGTCGTCTCTGACTCTAAAATCATGTCAGACATCTATCTTGAATATGATCAAGAAATTGTCAGTGCTGATAGGCGTAGGGAAATTCAAACCAGAAAAAAAAGAGTGAAACGTTATTGCTACTTAGGCACCACGATAAATGAAAAATGGGACAGCACTCAAGAAGTACAATTTCCGACAGATAAAGCCAAGACAACATTTAACAAAAAAGAGACACATAAGATGCTATGTGTTCTACGGTGTGTGGAATCCTGGACTCTGAACGATACTATTATAAAGAAGATGGAAGCATTTGAGTTATGGCTGTATACAAGAATAGTGAAGATAGGAGAATGAACAAGGACACTGAGCTAAACACCACAAAGACAAGAAAGCTCCAATTCCTAGGACACATAATGAGGAATGAGAGCAGGTATTCAATAATTGAATCCATTTTGCAAGGGAAAACATTTGGAAAAATAGACAGAACCTGGCAGAGGAAGAAAATCACGGCTTCATAATCTAAGGGAATGGGGTTTGAAAAGAGCAGAGATAGAGTATTGCTGGAATGGTCGTGGAACATTCGAAATCGGATAGGCACCTGAAGAAGAAGAAGAAGAATAATGTTTAGTACTTACACCATATGATGTCGGTGACGGCCCCGACGAACAGGTTGGAACAGCCCTTTTGCATGCGCCCGCCGTTGGGGTAGTAGTCGACGTGTCCCATCGGCTGCCAGGCGCCAAGGCCGCCCAGTATGAGGTTCTCGCCGTTGGAGTGGATCACGTCCACGAACTTGGCGTCGGTCGAGTCCAGCCGGGTCTTGGGGTCCTGGTTTTCGAAAAGGGGACCCGCAGGGTCCAGGCCGGTGATGCGGCTCAAGTTCTGGAGTTCGGCACCGGCGTACCCGGCGGCGTGAGCGCCCAAGCTGAACCCTATCAGGTGCACGTTCTCCACGGGCAGATTAGCTTTGAGCGCTAGGCCCGAGATCAACATGGCCACCTGTTTGCCGACCAGTCTAGTGTTGGCCGCCGCCCTAACGTAATTGGGTATGATGGCTCCGGCTTCCCAGTCCACGCAGATGATATTGCAATCGTCCTGCGAACACACCATAAACAAACGGTCATAAAATACCGTCACATTGTCTAAACGGGTGACATTTGCCTCAACTAAGTACCTAGCAGGCAAGATTTCTGATCTATAGAGTTGCTACACGAAGGAATCGGTCCAGCGGTTTAGAAGATATCGTGGGTACAAGAAGTGCTTGAGGCTAGTAGCATGTAACCTAGCGAGACCACAACCCCCACGTGTCTTGGCTGTGGTTTCACTGGATAGTAGATAGGGACAACCACATCATTGTAAATACAATACCTTCTCGGTTAAAAACCAAGAATGCAAGTGGCCTCAAACTCCTTAGTCCCAAAAATTGGGTTAATCTCAAAATCCACCTACTATTTTGTGAAGAGTTGCAGTGGTCACAGCCAAGGAGCTGTAAGGGCTGAAGATAGGATCATAGGAATCAAGGTTAAAAATCAGTAAACAATCCATACTTTAGGTGCAGCTTCTTGAGCAAGCGGGGTGAGAGAGAAAAGATCAGGGTGAATTGAAGAAGAATACAATTTAGTAAAACGGATAAGTAAAGTCTTAGAGGTAGAACGAAGAAGAAGTGAGAAATGGAGGTGTAGAGAGAGAGAGATTGATATATAGTTGACCGTGACAGAGTTGTGTTATGCATGCATCTTATTAAAAATAACGCAATAGGTTTATTTTATACGCGTTGCTGATGAAATGTGACAGTTTTGTTTGTTTGTAATTTCCAAGAACATTATAACTAAGCAGAGTTCTTGGTAAGATCAATTTTGTCTTGCTGTAACGCCTCAAGACTTGGACATTGGGAACATACGAAAGGAAAATGGTGCTTTACAAGCGGAAGAGATATAAATACATTGACCGACCGTTAAGACGTTTAATTTCAATGACCCAGTCTTACGTCTGCCAGTCGTTAGATTCCAAACAGGTTCGCACCGTGTCATCGAAACATACACTGTATATATATATATTTATAGTTTATACAAGTCTGTCCTGTGAATCCAATACCTACTGCCCTCTTAAAGAACCATTAAAAAAAAAATATATATATATATTTATATACTTGACGGCTCTAGATGTTTACACGCTGCAACCCATAAACATCATTGTAAAAACCAATACACATGCACATCTGACCTATAGAATACCTTTTGGACACATTAGGTTGAAAACTAGGACGAAACCGTCTTAAAAACGGTGTTAATTTTTTTTTTTTTACTCGAATGTATAAATTAATATTTTATAGGCACTTTGCATGAATTCAAAACGAGTGTATTGATGTATGTGGCTTCAATGGATTCGATTTTGTAAGTCACTTTTATGTTAGTGTCTTAATAATATAAGAATGGCTTTGTCTATGAAAAATCATTCTCTGCCGCGAGAATCCACGCCTTAGGACTGATTGCCCATCTGTATATCTAATTCATCCTTGACTTACATTGAAAAACATATTACTTGTGATCGACGGTGGATTAATAGCCTCAGGCAAACTAATTATTTAAAAAAATAATATCTCCTTCGATCTGTGGCGTTAGAGATCAGACAAGATCTGTGTGATGGAAAATAATATTAATTTTCTCATATTTTGTTCTTTACAAAAACTATTAATCTTATATCAGCTCCTTTTGGCACATATTTAGATTGTTTTTACTCTTCTGGATTCGATTTTTGTCGACAAAAATGTTTTCCTTGATCCAAATAGTACTTAAATCATTTTGAAATTGTTTTTTTTTACAAAAACCTAACATGACCGAATAACAGTGTCCAGACTGTCTAGACGTTTTATTGATGTCAACGTCACACACGTTGGCAAAGTTGTTACTCTCAGCACACAGTTAGGTTCATTATTTTGTCAACAACATAATAATAAATTCTCATTTCCCAAGGAAAATATTTGTCAACGGTTAACTGACAGTTACCAGCAACGTTTAACAACGTTTCCGAAGTTTTATATAATAAAAATAATAATGATAAAACATATTATTTGTGTTGTAATAGTAGTACCTATATGTGTACCATTTTCGATTGTTAACTTGGCTTTGATGTAATTGTGTCACACATCAACGTGTTTTGCATGGAAAAAAATGGACAAATGGTCGAAAGTTGTTATGAAATAGCTGGTGCATAAATATTTAAATGTGTATTTTTATTGTATGTATATAAATTAATTATACTGTGTCCACAGTTTGAGTGTCTACCGCACGAACAATATTATTGTTTTGTCTTGGAAAGTAATTAGTGTTTTGTCTGCCTGTGGATATTGGCAGAAATTGGTTATTGGTAAAAAAATGCTGTTGTTTTTATTTTTTTTTGGACCGAATTCTTGATATTTACACAAGTGTCTCGAAACAGAAATTTAACTTAACCGTTTCGCATAGTACTTTATACAAGTGAACACTGGATTTTTGTTGATCTTTTTGAAATACATACATAAAGAAAAAAAAATACAAGCTCCATCTTGCGAAACAAAGATTGCACACGCCAACGCTTGGCCTAAAACTAATTTTTAAAGAAAACAAAAATAACTGCTCAAGATAATAATATTTACTATGTTGAACACTTTTTTTTGTAATATTGATTGCATTATTTTCAATTTATCTGTTGAGAAACCAGCGGTCGGTGTTTGTAGTACTTTATTTTGCAAACTATACCGACAAACAAAATTTCTTAAACGATATTGTACTATTAACGACGATAATTACCTACTAACAGTCCGAGGTATAAAATAAATGGGCAACCACTTCAAGTGCCATCCTTGACCCCTTGGCGAGCAAACGAGCCAGTCGGGTAGCGTGTTGGGATAAGTGAATGTTAAAACACCTAATTATATGTATATAATGTATTTCTTACTTAAGGTCATCTTCGTCCAATTTTAGCTTAATATAAGTTTTTTTTTATTAATATTTTTCAAGTTGACCACCAAAAGTGACACAAACGTGATAAGAATAGTAACATAATATTTTATCGGTTTTTAATTAATTCGTTTTAGCTACGTTATAAATGTAAACGCTTTGAACACTTACATTACTATATTGTCTATATTATTTCCATAAGAAAACGCATTAAAGGTTTTGCCCCTGCGATGGGGAATCCGGTTTGTTTGGGACCAGAACTCTGATAACAGAGGGCACGCTGATAAGAGATATGATAGTGATAAGAATAGTAACATATTTTATCGGTTTTAAATTAATTCGTTTTAGCTACGTTATAAATGTAAACGTTTTGAACACTTACATTACTATATTGTCTATATTATTTCCATAAGAAAACGCATTAAAGGTTTTGCCCCTGCGATGGGGAATCCGATTTATTTGGGACCAGAACTCTGATAAGAGAAAGCACGCTGATAAGAGATATGATAGTGATAAGAATTGGGTCTGATAAGGTTTATATTTATAAGATAAATATATTTTTTGTCTATCCTGGCCGGTTTGGCCCAAATATATTAATGGTATGGCTCAAGTACAGCTGTTGTATGCGTCTCAAGTCCTAAACACTTGAGTATTTAGACTTACCGCGTCCATTAGCGCAGACCTCATCTCGTACACCCACACGTTAGAACACGAACTTCCGAATCCGTGTACAATGACTTTGGTGGGTGCCGTCACGTTGAAAGCTTTGCCGGCCCAGTGCCAGATGGAAGTCATGTTCTTGAAAGCCACGTCCAGCAGGGGAGTGTCCCGGCGACTCCTTCGGGAATTGTACAGCAAGAATCTCGTGTTGACCTAACGGGATGGTCGTGGAAATTAGAATTTATTTATTTGCTTTAAGTATTGGTAAAATTATCTGGTGCTCACTTCGTCCGGTGGGTTGGGCACGGTGCCTATGTAACCGTAAGGGCCGGATTCGTCGAAGCAACCCACTTCTGGATAGCATACTTTTGTTTCTGCTCTCTTTTGTCTGTAAAAATTTAAAAGAAATGTTTGTTAGATGTACATTTTTTCCAGCAGCCAGACGATAAAACTGCCAGACGATTGCAATAACTTAAATAATATTATAGCGGTGTAATTGACTATTAAGAAATCTGGTTTGAACGTATAATTCACTAGACTTGTATGCATAATATTATTATGTTATCAGGATCAAGGATTCTTTTTAAATGTTGTATTTATCAGAAACATTTCACGACCTTCAGCCGTTTGGAAATAAATACGTTATTCTGTATGGTACATAGGTATTACATAGTATGTGTTTTTTATTTAAATAAAAAAACCAGTTATTCGTGCGATATTGACAAAAAAAAAATCCGTTAAATGATTGGTTTAAAAATCTGAGAAAAGGACGAAGATAATGTTATTTATTTTCCAATATTATAAATAATATTATTATTATTGATGTAGCAGTTAAGATTGAGAAATGTAAGTAAAATTATATTGTTAACCACTAATTGTACCTAGTCAGACTCTCTACGTCTACCACAAACTTGCTTCAACGGTAATTGTAAATATTATGCGTATAATATTGTCAAGTTGAATAAAATAAATATGTTAATAAAAATAAAACAATGGTATTATATTATTCTGAAGGGTAGATGATAGTGTTGGAATTATCATAAATATTGTGGTTATTTTTTTTTATTGTATTGTGTCCTGTTACTGATCAAGACGATTTAACACACACACAATGAGTTACCTTTACCGTTGTGACAGGTGTACACTGTACATTAAACCTAACCTAAACACATTCCACTTAAATATATAACCGATAAGTGATCATAGTAATATTGTTTAGCTATATCAATGTACATATAATGCACAGTTGTGCTTATAAGTTATACATTTAACACAAAGTCATGTCAAAAAAAAAAAAATAACAATCACCCTTAGCCATTTTTGACAACCCTTGTTTCGACTTGTCCGGTATCTTTTCCACTGTTGGCGAGTACTCTCAAATTACTTCACTGAACATTTGAAAACATTATTATAATAATTGATGCCGTTTATTGTCATAGTATTATTATATTAGAAAATCAGACTCATTAAACCAGACTGACACACATACAACAACGGTATCATTAGTGGTAACTACGTGTAAGCGTTGAACCCAACAAGGAATATCTAATAATTAATATTCCGTTAAATTAACCGATGCTAATAATTTGTTGTGCAAATTGTTCCGTTAACACAGTTTACAGTACACACGGTTGTAAGTCATAATTGGCAAGTAATTGTGGATTTGAACTTGCCTAGCCCCACCACACCGTCTTACTTACTAGCTAGGTAGTCCGTAACCGATTAAAACCAGCATGGTCGATTATTATTAAAGCATTAATATAATAGTATTTTTAAATAGTAACTGATAGGCCTACGGGGCTCGGCGAAGTTTAGAAATCACACTTTATAAACAATAGGCGTAGCTAGGTATTTAGTTTAGAAAAGCGGTATACAGACATTTTTTGGAGAAGTTTATTAGATCTTGTACATGGTTACATAAATATGGAATTCGAAGAGCAACACAAGAAAAATAGCTTCCATGTTACTCGTTTGACTTGTGTTTTTTTTTTGGAGGGTTTTCAATTAAACTCTGAAAACGAACATGTTATTTAATTGGGCAAAATGAGCTACTATAATACATTTTTGACCATTTCAAGAGCCCTCCCTTTGAAATACCGGCCTACTTACTATTATGACTACCTATATTATATGGGCACAATACGTGTCAGTCGTTAACACTTGACTACATTATGAGTGATGACTATTACAGTACAAAAATATTATTGCTTGCCGAGAAATCGTAAACACCGAGTGTCGTCACCGTTGGCTGCATTTTATTCCGTTTAAGAAATTAGTATTATTTTAATAGACATTAGCACATTGCTCGGCGTGAGAAAAAAATACAACATAAACTCTGCTTTGAACTGGCTCTCGATGGCTGCTTTTTTTTCTAATCTTTGTGGTGGCAATTTTTTTGTGATATTTTTAAATACGAGTATATGCAGCCGGTTTCACCAACTATTATTAAATACACTCTTAACATAATGTTAGTTTACAATTCAAATGAATTTAACATCTGGTTAAATTAAGTAAGTTTCACCATAACATTTATATTATTATTAAATTCTATTTGTTAAGTTAACAAAATGGTAGTTAGGTTACCAAAGGGGTTACCTCGATTCCAACGTTTTCATTGGTTATTAAGATGTGTGATAACTGATAAGTGATTGTAGAATTTAATTTGTCAGTTTGTTATTATTTGGCATTTTATTTTACTTTCTTTTAAAGTTTCGGTTCATATAAATAATTTATATATAATTTTTTAACTCGTTAAAATAATTTTTTCCATTTTGAAGGCCTAAAAAAAAGTAGATATCGATAAGAATTATTTCCATTATTATACTCAGGACAGGCAAGACATAATAATATTATCTAAATTACAAAATACAATAAATTATGATATTTGAACCTATAATGCAAGTCTGTGCCATTCCTTTTTACCTAATCTACCTAAATAAAATAACTTCTGCTTACCTAATAAAGGGTTATCAAAGTTGTCTTTTCTATTCTTCTCTAAATACTCAATATAAAGAAGTTCTTCATAAAATGTATAATTCATTATTATATATTACTAGTATACTCAGTCGACAAAAATTAAAAAACAATTTCTGAACTATAATAATATAAATATTATAAATATATATAAGTACCTACTGCAATACATTATAGCATGCTGATTAACTTTTTAACAAGCCGATTTCGGGTGATTAATTTAACAATCGTTTTAACGATGTGTTAAGGCTAACAAATCTCGATGAAACCCAATTTTCACTAACTAGTTGTTAAATATAATTAACAATAAGTTAAATTCTTAACAAATGTCAGTGAAACTGGCTGATGGTGTATAATAATAATATAATACTTTATTTGCAATTATTTTACCTCTTAGGCGAGGCGTTCCGCTGTCGCCATTCTTCCATTGACTGTACGACCGATTTGTATATCTGCAAGTCCTTTAGCTCGTCGGCCGCTTCGAGTTCCGCACTGGCCCATCTCGTACCGCTGTTTTTCGCATGCCCATTCACTGTGAAAACAACAACAAAATATAATATTCATTACTGGTAATTTATATGGTACCTTCTATTATGATGTTTGGTAAGTTTGGTTTTTTTTGTATTATTATTATCGCTCCAAAAAAAAAAACCTGAATCGCGCACCGTAACAACACCGGTAGGTTCTCTATATATTAAAATGTGTACAACAATAATATATTGTAGGTACGGAAGAGAAGATAATATAGGTGACCGCCTTCTTAGAATAAATAATAACTGCACAGTAGTATGACCAAAGTAAACGAAATATTCCCATCGTGTCAGTTTAATTGATAAACGTTTTAAAAAAAAAAAACATCATTATATATATAAAACCATACATAGTGCAACGTATAATAGTGGGTAATACCGGTCAGTGGCATATCACTTTAAATATGATAGCTAAAATTTAGATAAGCGCGTAATTTTTGGTAGCTATGGTTACCAAAACCTAGTACCAGATGTTTCAAAACGGTAACAACAACATTTTCCCTACAAAAATAATTATCAATTTTGTTATCACAGTTGATGTAAAATTTTGGTCCGAGTTGAAAATCGTCTCAAAGTAAGAATATTTAATTTGTTTCTGTATAGAATGTTTCAACTATATCAAAAACTTACAAGAAATAAAAGTTGTATGCTCATAATCTACCTAAATATTTTAGCTTTTAAGTAAATACATGTATTAAAAAAAAGACTGATAAGGGTATACCAACCAAAAATGACTGACTAGCCTATTTTAACTAACCATGCGGCTAAAATGGGGCAAAACACAATTTTAAAAAACTATTTAAGGACTAGTCAAATTAAAGACATAGGTGTTTAGGGAACATATATAAGAGAAAGTCTTTTAGTCCCCATTTTACCCACCTTTCCCCTATCTAAATAATGGCCAAATCTGAGTCCATAAGATATCAAAGTTGTTAAATAAAATGGTATATTTTTGCTGTTATTTTTTTATTTCAACGTTTTAACCTCTAGAACGTTTACCTGCCAGATCCAATCTGAGATCTCGGGCACAAGTAAAGCATCCAGCCAGGTTATGTGTGTTTGTGTGCCAATACTATATAGATAAGGCCTTGAAATCGCGTTTTAACGGGGTGTATTGTAGATCCTTAGGGCAACGCTTCAGGGATCTTCTTCAGTCTCCTGACTTATATAAGCCTAATTGGATCCGTCAAGGCCCGAAGCTCGGGGTTAGGTTAGGACTTGGGTTGGGTTGTCTTGGTCGTATTGAGAAACGATAACACACACAGCTGGTAGCCTTAACAACGGCAATAATATTGTACTTGTATCGAGTGTGTGATCGTTTTGATTTGATGGATCAGCGATTTTCAGGTAGGTCATGGCCATGGACAATCGACCGGGTTCCCAACGCGGTGGTATTGTTTGGTTGCCATATAGCCCGTGTGATGGGAAACGCTTAGAAAGATCTCCGGGAAATGATAGGGAAAATAAAAAATAGTAACCTACGGGCTACGGAGAAACCTGAGAGCGGTGAATGAATGTGGCAGGTATTTTTTTTTATCAAGAAACATTATTTAGCTAACGCCGACACGGCTGCATAAACACACTGTTAAAGGAGTGTAGGTTTTTGTAAGAAAGGTGTATGCTCAATACCTATATTATAAGATGTGTACTTAAATGTCTGTTGACAGGCTAACGTTTTTGTAGTGTTAACCGACGTTAAGGCGATGGTTTTTCTAATAAATAAATGTCAGTATTAATTCTAATAATAGAAAACTAGTATAACAAGATTTATATTAAAAAAAATCTCGTCGCCATAAAAAAAAAGGTGTTAAAGTTTTAAAATTTTAAATATTATGTCCTCTATGCCGCACCACAGTGGTCTGAGAATGAATTCAGGTGGCAAAAATAGAATATTTAAAATGTCCAAAAAAATCAATTTTTTTTTTTAGAATCTCATCAGTTTATGGTTACTAGTTAAAGTATAAAATTTCAACTTAGCACCATTTTTTGAACTGGAATTAAAGCTAGACAGATTTTGTTTTTTCTGTTGGTTTGAAAATAAAAATGCCAATACTTCATTTAATTTTTGTAGGCCGTTTACTTATATAAAATAAAATTACTGATTGATAAGTCACATATTAAGATAATTAAAAAAAATGTATTTTTTTTTTTAATTTCAAGTTTCTAACGGTTATGAAACATAAAAAAAACTAACGTTTATTGTTTTTTTTTAAGGTTCACTAAAAATACTTAGAAGGAGTTAAACCCTTAAAACCACTCCAAATACTTTGTAAATAAATATATTACCTTATAAACTACATTTGTAAGTAGTACATGGTTACATAAATATGAAATTCGGAGAGCAACACAAAATTATGAAACAAAAAATTCTAACGTTTTTTGTTTGTTTTTTTTTTAAAAAGACTTCAGTAAAAATGTACTCAGTCAAACCTAACCTAACCTAATCTTACCCTATTTCTGATACATGTTTTATTTAAAGGAAGCTTTCAGCTATAAGAATAAATAATTATTTTAAGAGTCTCGTTGCAAATGTAAGTTATATTAGGAAATTAAGTATCTCATTTGAATAATTGATTTGAAATATTAAGTTAGTTTTTAATGCATTTAAATTCAGCGGTGCGTGCCAAGACAATGTAACAGTGCAATAATTAAGAAAGTAGATATGATATTATTGCAAAAAAAAAAACATGTAATGAGATCTTGTTTTGTTGAATTCACAATCGACTTTAGTGTGTAAGTTTGGAAATTGTAAGAGTTGTGTAAAAAAAAGCGCCAGTTAATTGACTAGTTAGGTTAGTCGCTGTTAATTTAATTTTCGATCAATGACAAACAATATAGAATGATCTATATGGCGTAGCTAGGAGTTATTGGTTGGGGAGGGGATATGATAAAATTGTTCATACTTAAGATCAGCTGTAATTGTATACACTAATATTAAAAAAAAAACAAAGCGTACTTTTTTATATTTATCAAACTTAACATAATGCTGGATATTGATTTTTTCAAGAATTACTTTTACTCAACCGATACCAAAACCAAAGACTCGAATCTTTGTCGAGTTATAGTGGTTCTTAATTAGCTTTTGACTTTAAAATTAATATTTAATATGTACAAGCAATGTAAAAAGCTGAACTGCACAAAATCAGTAGTGTATTATATTATTTTACCAGAGTTAATTTAGAAAAACTCTTTTATACAGAAGCCATTGTCAACTTATTTATTTGAATTAAATCTTTGTTATCTGGACAGTGCTTTGATCCAGATTTTTGCTGTTTTAAATAATATTTAAATACATCTTCGTTATCAACGATATGTCTTATATTTTGTGATTAGTCAAACTCTTAACAGAAACATTTTTTGCTAATTTTAATCTTTCTAAATATTATATTAGGTACTGTACTAACTAGAATACTTTTTGAGACAAACTTGAGACAAAGGCGTTCAAACAAACTTAAAACTTAGCCTATCAGAAATTCGTTTTCGAAAATACACGGTTGGATTTGATCATAATATTGTATCGTTTAATGACGCACTACATTAAATTGATATTTGGATTTATTGTCGACACTAACGCGAGCTGTTCAAACATTAAAAGGTGCGAATTGGTTATTTTTAATGTGAAAAAACTAGCATTATATTTTCTAAGTGACTAGCATTTCCAAGTAGTTGTCCATTTGCAGTGTCAAATTGCGATCGACTTTACAACCAGCATTTAGTGTTTTAATTTCTTCAAAAAATGCTTCACTCGAAATGGCTTAGTGTAATCCTTGTGTTGGGTTTGGCCGTGCAGATTTGTCCAAATCCTTACACTGCCAGGGACGTTACCGACCCTAAAGTGTTCAGATGCAACTGTTTGGTTAAAGCAGTGACCCACATGAGATTGTCCAGGTTGTCGTTTGACATAAAGAACACTCCGGCAGATACAATCCTGGACATAGTCGTTCACGGCAATGCCAAAGAAGCGTTATCTGTATTGTACAATTTAGAGGGTGTGAAAATCGGCTCATTGTGGTTGTTGCACTTGTACACGGGACTGTTGAGAGCTTATTATTTCAAAGATTTATACGTGGAAGGCGACAACGACAAACCGCTCATGATTCGGAGAAAACTTTTCGAAAGACACGGTTATGTCACCGAATTGCTGTTGTCCGACTGGAGAGCCAACGATTGCGCCTCTTACCATTTAAAAGATTGGTGCCAGCATTGGATTAGACATCATCGAGACGCCGAAATTTTAGTGATAAAAGAAATAGTCAGGAGGAACAACAACGAATTTGTAAGTCTTGTGGAGACGAGAATAAAATTGATGAACGCATACGAGAAACAGCGGTACGGCGAAGTCAGTGATTCGTTGAGGATGAAAAATCTATTGCTGAACGACTTGGGCGAAAAAACGGTAACCAGAAAGGCGTTTATGAATGCATACGACGTGGAAGTCGATTGGAAAGGCGCCAACCACCTGCTTGAATCGTCCTGGGATCGGGCGCTTAAGGTCACGTGGCCCTTTGATCATCTTCAAAATCTCAAATACTACTACACGGCGCATTTTGCTCTACTGAAAATCATCTTTTTCCGGATAACGTCGGTGCACCTGTTGTACACTGAAGTGCTGGAAAAAATCTCAATGAAGCACAGCGTACAGTACGCAAGAGAATGGTCCAAGTATCTTATGAATTTCGCTAAGATGTTGCGCATCGAAGACGATCCGGACGTCCGGAATTTGTTAACGGTTTTCGACAAGCTCGGCGATCTAAATCGAAGCACTCCGCTTGTAGGCGCTATGATACAAGTCTTAAACAAAATCTTATACAATTGCTCGCTGCCGTTACAGTGCGATGCCACAAAACCGATGGTGTTGAACCCGACAAAAGTAGAAAACGATTTGCGAGACTTGATAAGTTCTGGCGGTGGTGAACCGGAGGAGCTCATCACTCAGAGAGCAGCCAATAAATTCATGACCGACGTGGCAGTAATATTCAAAGGAGTCGACTTTGGCGTCGTTCGATCACTCATAGAATATATTGATGAAATCCACGAGATGACGAAAATAGTATTAGAAGAACCGGCGCTCACTTTTGAATGATAACCTAACCGCTAACCGTCAAACCCCTAAGAAGGTAAATTCGCGTTAAGATAGATGCTCGTCGTCAGTATATAAATATAAAAATTCCAAATAAAACAATTTGAATTCAGCTACTTTTGTTTTACCTTCAATTAACCTTATTTTTAAGATATAGTTCAAAGACAATGGAAATCAAACGGGGCCAAAGTTCAATGTGATATATAAAATAAACAACAAGGTAAAAAGTTCCAGGCAGAACAGGGTTTGATGACGTCACGCTTGGTTGGCGCTCATTTTATTGCGAGCAAATAAGTATATATTTAGTCAATTAATGGTTAAAAAAAAGCACAAAATTATTGTTTTATCATATTTTAAAAGGGAATCTAGCTAGGATCGAAATTAAAAAAAATAAAAACTGATATACCAAGATCTAATTTTGGTTCAAAACTCATAGCATATTTTTGAAAGTTCAAGTAAAGTAAATAAATGTGTTACGTTAGTGTTTAAAGCATAGAAAATATTTTAAGACACCCAAGTAATATGCATACTCATTCCGGTTAGGTTTGCTAATGCTATCTAACTCAGTCACTGCAACATCATATCCGTGTAGGCTACTTGTGTTATATTTTCTAATCTATCTTATTCAATTCTCTAACTTCATTTTTACATAATATACACCACTCTAACGGTAATGGCCAATAAAGATGTTACACCAAACTTGTCGTTATCTATTGGTAAATTATGTACCACCGTAATAAACTAACTTTTGTTAAATTTACGAGTGTTGTTTAATCGTTATTTTATATTCAGGTTATTACCAGTATACCAGTATACTGGTAATAACCAGGTTTTCAAATAAATGGTATCAACAGTAGGATGTAATACTATTATCATACAGGGTCTAATCAATGATAAACTGATAACGCACATTTCCATTATCACCACTTTAACGGAAAACATTGATAACAAAATTTAACTGTACATAAATAATTTTTACACAGCGATAAATGACGCTGTAATTTAACTAGCGATAAAGTACATTTTTAACAACAGATTATATTTAAAACATGTTTTATACAACAGAATTTATTTTAACCTCAGTTAATCGAGTTTATTTCTGTGTAAATATTTGGTGCAACCCGGCATTAGTGTTTTGAATTTTTATTCTCTTAATTCGGTCACACCGTTGACAGTTTAGTAGTAATTGGACACAGAATTCAACGATAAACACGGTAATACCGCCAAACATAGTGGCCGTAGTCACACGGTAAGCTTTGTCAGACAGTATATTTATAATGTAATTTATCGTTGTGATTTTGGGCGAAAAACGAGAACGTTCTATTTGCGTTGCTCGATAGCAATTTGTGCGATTTAACGGATGGCCATAGGACGTATAAAATAATATTATAGTTACCTATTATATACCTACCAATGTATACACACGGGGGCCCGTTCAAGTATATTATTATTGTCCTACCAACCCAATTCGATAGGTCTAATTTGTGCATTACGCGAAAGCATTGTCGGACGATGCTCGTTTCTAGGCGTTTCCAATGCGGTGCGAAACTAGTTTTGATCACCGTGTTAGACAATGACCTTAATAGTAGACTAAATAAAAATAAAAATAAATAATATAACATTTGTTAATCTCCAGGGAAAGACACCATAAGATATAGATTCATCTTAGTAGGGCTGTCAAAGAGTTTCAACGTTTCTGTTTGGATAAAATTACAATGAATTATGCAAAATTAATGAATGATAATAAACGTTAAAACATATGGAAATTGTAATTAAAAATTGAGTTATTTATATTGCAATTACCTGGAGTTGTATTCTGAGTTAACGCAGAATGGTTTTATTTCGAATAAGTAGGCACAACTTTCTTTAATTAGATTTCTCTACCACAAAGTAATAACTATTCAAACGGCCCGTTGATATTATATTATAATATTATATATTTTGTAAAGACGTCTATTGTCTAACAGATACTTTCTAAAAAATTCGCAATAAACAGCTCTTTTGATCTTAGCCAAAACGCTAAGAAAGACCAGACGGCAATGTCAGCATTTCAGAAATATTGTGAAAATGTATTTAATACAAATTTTTTGGTCATAAATATTCAACACTTTGACCTATAAAAAACATGTTGTTTGATTGTTGAGAGTTTTTAAAAGGCCCCGATGTTGATTTAAATAAGAGACCCAAAAAATAAATAGGCATTTGTTGCTATTTGGAAAAAAATAGCTTTTGAGTACTAATTAATGTATTACATTAATTGCAACAATATGATGGGAATTAAAAAAAAACTTTTATACAAATAAAAATACATGTTTAAACTATGCACAGTTTTACATGAAATGTTTAACATAGGTGATTAAGAAAATTATAGTTTATTAGTTTTTAAATAAGGAAACTACAACTAAAAAAACAGTATAATATTTTTTAATAAACAAAACTAATTGGCAATAAATAAAATACCCTAAAAAAATTAATATATATATATATATATTTTTTTTTTTTCTATTTAGTTGTTAGTTGTTAATAATTATGTAGTTATTTTTATAATCATTCTTTTGTGATATATTTAATTGCATGCTATATATTTACATGTAAATATTAATAATCTTTAAGTTTGTTGAAGTTAAACTGGTCAAATATATAAAAAAAAACCTTTCAAGAAGTTGTCTTTTGTATAATAAGGGCCCATTAAACTCAGAGCCCTGATATTATGTGTTCTCCCAAATATCTTACACGGTGTATCACGATGATCTTACTGAATTCCATTATTATCTGTTGAGTCATCACTCATCACATACTTGATACACCAGTAACATCAGGAATAGCAACTCTGCCTTAATAAAAGCGTACAAAAATAGTAATAATTTTAATTTATTTAATATTTGATGATATTTTGTAACTATTATTGTCACACGGTTTTTTTATTTATAATTTTTTCATTATGCATTGTTTTTTTTGTCTGTTGTTTTGTGTGTACCTGTGTTGCTAAAAATATGACATTAGCTGTTTTCATACGATTTCGTGTGGTACTTTTATTTAGACAACGCTGAGACACTCACTTTATATATTTCGGTTTTTATTTTGTACATATTTTCAACAACTGTTATTATCATGACGTATACCTATATTGTCAATACAGCCTGCGCCATAATATCTGCACAGATAAAATATCATGTACAATATACTCGTGCTAGGAAAATCGGGCGAACGGAAATTCCAACGCTGAACAAATTGATCGTGACTTGCTCGTGTAATAATAATAATAATAATAATAATACTATTATAATGTTTTTCTGCCAATAAAAAAAGCAATATTAAAAAAATATGCCAGTGGAAACCCGATAGGAGGTAACACCAGAATGTGTGCTGTTGGTTTGGCGTGGACAAGTAATTTGTTCGTCGTACGAAAATTGTACACGTTTGAGTTTCGACACATGTTTACAAGTGAATTTATGTATACATATGCAGGGTGATTCTTTCAACGCCTTACACTAGTTTAATCTTAAGACAATTGCAATTTCGTAGGTTAGGTTAGGTTAGGCTTACATTTTTACTCGATCAACTTATAAAACTTATAAACGACAACGATAACTTACTATTTAACAATTTTTAAATTAAGGATAATTTACTGAACATTTTGACTAGTCCATAAGCAGTTTTGAATAATCGTTTTTAGAGTTATTTCAGTTTGAATCTGGTTATCGACCAGTCAACCTTTTTTAAGCAAATTGTTCTTAATTTTAATAAGTTAATAACAAATATGTACGTTGCCATATTTAAGTTTCAAAAGTTGATAAAGCTCTAGGACATGCCGAAAAAGATTGAAAAAATTGAATATTGTCTCATATAGTAATATAGCATTAACAAAAACGTTTATAAACACTACAAATTGCAATTGTTTTAAGAGTAAACTAGTGTAGGGCGTTAAAAAAATCACCCTGTTATAGCTTTTGAATTCACCAAAAATAGCAGCCAAAAAAAATACATCTCTTATCAAAAGGTATAAATTATAAAGGTTAGGGTTAGACCGATTACAGCAAAAATAGCCGTTATAACAGCTACAATGGTTGAGATAGAGAGCTGACATTTTTACACATACCTATCGAGATCAGCTAGCCAGTCAATTTCTCACTGACTTTATTAAGCAATTCAATTTTTTCTTTACATAGTGTTTTTATTCAATGTGATCTCAATTTTTCACTATATTTTTTATTTTTAACCCCCTTTCTTTTATCCGTGAAACATGTTACACTCAAATGTCGGCAAAGAAAGTAATAATACATTTCAATGGGGCTGCAGCGGTTGAACCCCCTCGAATTCACAGCCATTGTCTGTTTTTTGGTTTTCATATAGGTACTTAAAAACACCACAATTGCTCTTTGTAAACACAATCGTCTTCAATTTTCTAATAAATAATAAAAAAAACTGTTTAACATAACTCATATCGGTCAAGAATCTCATTTATTTATTTTCAAACCGCTAATCTTTACCTTTTATTATTTTTTTTTTATACATTTTTGTATATAGACAAGTCCGGTCTGTAATATTATGGAAATATGAACACAGCTGAATAACAATACGTTAGCCGCTTAATAATTAGAATAAACATCCAAGTCTTTCGGACGATGCGAAGTTAAATGGGGAAAGTGGATTTTACCAAAGTATTGTGTAGTAGAGCAAAATATATTTAGTATAATTTCCAGCATAAATATTCATAACTCTTTGTTGATTTCAATAGAACTGTTCATATATGCATGGTATTATAAAGTAGACCGAAATATAAATGATACAAATTTTACACTAGATAGGTAACTCTTATAACTTTGCCTATGCATTTTAAAAGTTGCTATAAAAAAAAACTAAGTTTAAGAAGGGGGTAAAAACAAAAAAAATATTGTGAGAAATTGAGATCACGTTGTATAAAAAGATTATGAAAAAAAAATATACAAATATTAATTAAACCCAGCGAGACATTGGGTGGTTCACGATAATAGTTGATCACCCTGAATACCGTGCAAATTTAATCAGACTTCTAGTTTGAATAGATAGCGAGAAAAATACAATTCCCGTTAAAATTGAACCCAATCAGCACCAAATTTTAATAAGTTCATTTAGACAATTGAACAAACATACTGGTTAATTTGTTTTATTAAGTGTATGCTATAAAGACATGGATGAGACGAACAAACGGTTTCGGTTGGCCGACATGTGAGATAAGTCGAGGAAGCAGGAAACGACCATGCAATCAACTAAATGTTTTTACTTGCGTTCAAAGATCATATACTATGAGGATAATGATAAAACGAAATAATTAAATAATTAGTGTACAGAGTTAGTTGACACGGTGATGAGTTGCTGCTACTTTTGCTATTTTGATGTTTATTTCTCAAAAAAAAAATAGATTTTGGCAACAATCCTTTACTTAAATAATACGTTATATTATACAGTCGGTAGTTTCACATACTTACACGGTGTTCGGTGTTTACCAGTGTTTGAAATTTGACAGTATACCAAGATTTAATATAGTACCTAACCGTGAGTATGTGCGATTACGTGACGTTTGACTTCCGCAATAATAATAATAATATTATTTTGATGTTCATCGTGTAGAGTTATGTCTTTTCTGCAAATTGCATAACAATGGCTCGAGTGGAATTATCAAATATCATCGACCGTTTATGTAAGTTGACAATAATATTAATAATAAAAACAACCATATTGTTGTAATAATATTTAATTATTATGTTGTACCTACAGTGCATCTAAAATCCAAGTGCATTATTATAGAAGACACGGCGATAATAAT